CACATTAGTTATGCACATACACACAGATGCGAACATGGACAAATCTACACATTATTTATGTAAGTGTGTAAGTGTGTAAGTGTGGGTGCATGTGTGGCCAACACGTATTTTCGGATTTTCATATCGAAGCAATTAAAGTGTCTTTAGCGTTTAGCTCGTACAACACCAACGCCAACCGCCCCCTTAACTGATGTTGACTTTTTTCTCTCCACTAGCAGAGTATTTTGTGTTTTTTTTTGTCTGTTTTCAATTTCCACGCAATCGTAAAACAATAGCGAATGCTATCTCGACTATATGGTCGTCTATCTATATATGTATGTGTGTGTGTGTGTGTTTGAATTCTCATAGCAAACAAATAAACAAACATATATGTTGCCAGCTAGCTAGCTAGCTAGCTGGCAGACAGCGACACCAGCTGCCGAGTTTCCCGGCCCAGCCCGCAGCGATGGTCGCATCTTTCAACAATGCCCACTCCCCGCATTCCTGCCGCGGACAGCAGCGATAAAATGCCTGCCTGCGGGGGCAAACACACACACACACACATTCACACACACACAGAGAGAGAGGGCCAATGCCTTATCAATGCCAAGCCACGCTAAATACTTACAATGCGACATGGCTACAAACGAAAGGATACACCATTACATTTCATTCCATTTCATTCATCTCTCTTAGCGGCAAACGCTGCGGATGCTCAACTTTAAGTGAACTTACGCGTTGAAAAGCGCAAAGGCGGGTCGAATTGTCGCTGACTGATAAAGCGAGAGGGCCAAGCACATTAGTTGAACGACCAACCACAAACTGTGCACATATATGAAGATCTGTGTTTGTATATATACATATATATACATATGTCTTTATGGGTGTATGAATAGGTGCACGAGATGATTTCACAAAGTAATGCAAATTATTCCGTTTTTTGATAGCATTATCCAGCAATCAGCTTAAACTCATAGTCAAAAGTGTGGCTGCTATTGGGAAACATAAGAAAGTATGCATAAACTAAAAGAACAAACAATAAAATATGACCTAAAGCAAGTCTGGAGTTTCGCTACTGCTCGAATACACCTCGCTTGCCACAATAACAATAGCATTGCTTGAGAGTTGAACAAACAACCAAACAGTGGCAGTAAATGTAACTCTAACGGGCAAACAGAGACACAGAGCTGGGAGGTGGTCGCACTCACTCCTGGGACTGGTCAATGGGAATGGGAAGGTTGCAGCGGGCTGGACAGAGAATTCACATAAATAAACGCAAGTGGCAGCAGGAGCTGCCGTCGCAGCTGCGAGCAAATATCCTTGACTTGTGAATGTATATCCGGGCATCATCATCAAAGGATGCTGCGTTAAGCGCTCACTGCTGGAATTTGAGGCATGAAAATGTAATTGAAAATAGCAGAGCATAAGGAATATGGCTATCCAGAATATGAGGACGCATATTTTTGTTGAGTTCATGAATTACAATCAATGTCAAAGCTATAAAGCTACAAGCTCAATCAATAGACAACAAATCAGTGGACAGACAGTGCCGCAGGCAAAAGCCTTGCCAAGCCCAAAATAGTTCCTCAGGCAGCTAGCTAACTAATTGACATTCATCGGGCAATTACCAGGACGTTGGCCATGAGCTCTGGCCGTGGAATATGTCAATTTGAGGTTTTTATAAAAGCAATTTTCTACCCCATCAGCCAAGAGCTGCACCACCACAGCCGCCACACAACCACTTTGGTGGCAACGATTGAAAAACAAGCTTTTGGTTTTATGGCGCTTTGTTTTGTTGTTGTTGTTGTTGTGGTTCCACACGAGTGCTGTCCTGGCATGCGAACTAGTTAGATTAATTTAGCCAGAGTCGCAAATACAATTACCAAGTCATTTCAATTTATTTAGCGTATGGCACCCCAAGCAAAAAAAAAAAAGTTGCAATCGAATAAGTGGATCCAAGCAAGGGGAGAAGTAAAGATAACACTATGCTCATTAAAGTCTTGGCTGAAAATCAATTTGCAGCTGTATGTCTTTAATATATTGTTATATTTATTTTTATATGCTTTATTTTATTTTTGTGTTTTACTTTTTTTTTCTTCTTTTTTTTTGGTTTTTCTTTTTAGCCAGCTCTGCGATTTGTCAAAGTGCTATGAAATCCCAGTAACTTGAACCATTATTGAACGATAAATTGATTATATATGCGCGTGTGCTTAGTATATATAATATATATATTTGTATAAATGTCTATTGCTGTGTGTGTGACAACTTTCTTCAGTTGGCTGCTGCTGTTGCTGATTCTTATTGCTGCCTCAAATTGCCATTTCAATGTTAATTTTATTAGGGTGTCAGCTATAAATTGCCTTCAATCTTAAATACCATAAAAAACGTTACACTCACTAACACACACGCACACATATATATACACAAAAACACTTACCCATATCCATATGCACAATCGACATATTCGCATTGTACAGCCGTATATACGATATATGTATATGTATTTTCACAAGAAGGCCAAAAGCGCTCAATTTCCATTATCATCAACAGCTTTGAACCTTATTCAAATCTCAGCTAAATTCCACCCAAATACTTTGGCAAGCCAGAGTCTCTATGTGTGGGTGCGTTAGAGCCCCCACCAAACCCCCTCGTGATATGGGCAGGCCACAAGTTATCCATCAAAGTGCCGCTAGACACACTCGACATCAACACGCTCGCCATGTAAGCAGTTGGGATTTGCTCGTAACCATAAACCGTTTGAGATTTACATGCAGCCGGCCTCAATGCCTGTTTTTGTGGTCGAAACTGTTCTGACTATATACTGAGAGAATTATATTGGAGATAGTTTAATTACCACTTAAATTACATTTCTAAATACTTGATATTTGGAGCGCACTAGAAATAATTTCAACTTAACTCGACTTTTATAATTTCATTCTAAGAAATTTGCATTTTGAATGGGATACTTTTTCTCGCTGTGTGGCAACTTTGGTGGCAGCTGTGCTGTCTATGAAACTTAAACTGTAACTGAGTCTGAGCGACGGCATGTGTTTTGTGTTTGAGTAGTTATAGATGTCCATATTGATAGCTATTTGCCCCCAACCCACCCATTCTACTGGACAACTTCTACAAACTCACTTCAAACTGTGAGCGCTTCATTAGTCTTTCTGGTCGACAAAGTTTTTAAACAATTATGCGAAAACAAAATGGCCAATAGCCACACTGGCCAATTTGGCATTATTGTGCTACACTCTTTGGGCCCTGAGTCAGTCTGACCATCCATCTGATGGCCATTGTCAACATCGTCAACATCATTAAAGTCGCATTTTTAAGCCAAATGTGGCACAAACTGTCTTGTTATGTCATTTTGGGTACATTGAACCCAAACTCCGTACAACAGTTGATGGCTAACAGACCCAGTGCCACAGCTTGTCCAGAACCCAAGACAAACGGAAGTGGCAATAGCAGAACATAACCAATATGGTGTGCACATAATGAATTTATCAAATTAATCAAAATGACGCTGCAAGGAGAGCATCCCAACAAACGGATGTCCTTGTTACTGTCAGGTTCTCTCACTCTCTGTGTGTGTTTGTATTCACTTATTTATGTTTGCCGGTCTGTGTGCATAATCCAATTAAGCATCACAGGACTTGTGCGAAAATGGAGATTTAATAAAGCCATTTGGCTGATGGTCAGTCTCCAGTGATAATCGCCAGTTAGGCAAAAATTGAGACCAGGGCTGTCACGTATACGGAATTGAAAAATAAAATGTGAGTGTGCAATTTAAAATAAATAAGTAAATAATACGTTTTAAATAACAACTTAGCATGATTCACAATAAAAATTTAACATATGGATTTTTTTAAGTTTTTTAATCACTTTTAAGCATTGCTTTAAAAATGTTAAAATTGGTGTATGGGAATCATTACTTTTAATAACGTTCATGATTTTTATAACTTTCTTTTGTAAATGTCTGAAAATAATTGACTAAATATGTAGAATTGTTCTCTAATTCGCAGCACTTTGAAACCCAACTTTGAATATATATAATCTATTAATAATTTAATAATAATCTTTTACTTCTAAAACTACTGTAATTTAAAGTTTTTAAAATGCTCAAAAGTAATCAAAAAATGTTTTATGTTTTTTCAAAAGCAACAGTATTTAAACACGTTTAAGTCCAATAAACTCCCGCATTTTAAGTTCTATGTAAGACTTAACATCATTTCTAATTGTCAGTAAGACAGGACAACCCTGCAAGTAATTAAAAGCACCGCCAGAGTTGCGACAGACGATGTCGAGTGTGTGTGTGGTTGAAGTATGTTTATGTTTACTTGGCGGGGGGTGGTTGTTGTTAATCGCATTGGTCGGATGTTTTAATGTTATGTAAATGACAGGGCCTAATGAACTTTCCATTCATTATCGTTAGTTAGTTAGTTAGTTAGCCAGTTGACTGTCCTCTCTCTCCCTTGTGTTTGCTCATGTCTAGTCTTGGTCAATGTCCGGTTAGATCCGGCCACAGCCGGAGGCTGCTGCTACTTAAATGCTAATCCCAGACACTTTTGCTACTTCAGACAGGACGTAATCCAATTGGCTGCTGCTGCTGCTACTGCTGCTGGCGACGGACACCAACGACAACAGCAATAATAAGGAGGACAACCACAAAGCCCCACTGATTGATTTGTTTAATGTCGCTGCGGGCAAATACAGGAGCTGGCTGAGCAGTAACTGGAACGGGAGCTGTTAGCGACGTCGTAAATTTCAAGAAGCCGTTGGGCAACTTAATTTCATTAGCGCATATTTAAGGGCCGGGCAATTACGACAGCGGCACGTTAACCCCCCGCACCCGCACCCGCACCCGCACCCGCTCCCGCTCCCGCTCCAGCCACCAAACAGCGGGTGGCCCGAAAAACGGTGAATCGCTTCCGCTCGCACTTAATCGCCATCGAGATTCCCCGGGCGATAATGTGCCAAATGTTGCGAGTATAATTCCTAACAATCCGGTTGACGACCCTTGACGCAGGACGACGACATTGTTGAGCGGCAGCCTCGGCGTCGCTGGTGCGTCACAAGCTGTGGCCAGGCGCGGGCAGCAGCCGCGGCTGCTACAACTTTTGCTGCTGCTGCTGCCGCTGCTGCTGCTCCCAACAACAATAACAACAACAACAGCAACATTAGAAACTCCGCCAACACCTCAAGATGAGGTTGATGCAACAGAGTCGTCGACGCAGCACGCTGGGTTATCCCGTGGCGCTGCTAGTAGCAGCCATGGCGCGTACAACACAACTAATAGTATTCATGCCTACGACAACGGCGATAACTACAACAACAACAGCAACAACAACAACAACAACAACATTGATTTCAACAGCAACAGCAACAACAACTCCAGCTATTCCAATGCGAGCGCCAGCGTCGTCGCCCACGCCGATGAAGATGTGGAACAGATGCTTCCACAGATTCCATCGTATATACGCACAACCGCCATGTTCTTCTGCATAATCATCATGCTGCTGGGCGTCATCGGCAATGTGATGGTAAGTCATTGAGCGTTATCTCTTTCAAAAAGCCGTAGCTCAGAAACTTCAATTCTAAATTTACATAAATTGTGACTAAAATGTAACAAGTGCAGCTCTAATCTAGAGACTAGATTGTCCATCCCACATAGAAACTACTGTAAAATTTGCCTTGTTGATGTAGAAGAGGAATCGGTTCACCACTTCTTCTGCCACTGCCCAGTCTTTGGAAGGAGAAGAATTTATTTGCTGGGGTTTCTCTTCCTTCAAGACATTTTGGAACTCTCCGGTACCCAACCCAGGAAATTAAACATGTTTATCCCATCCACAGGATGGATACAGTCGTTGGAATAATATATCTAACGGGAATAGTACACAGTGGTAGCGAAGCATGGCTCATGAGAGTCGTTTTGCACAATTATTCTCTAGCCTAATCTAGAGACTAAGCCAGGATTATATAGGCTTATTTTTGTAAGAAATCCTTTATAATTTTAGTCAGAGTGATTTAAGATCTGACTCTCCAACATCTGAGCTAAGATTAAACATACAAATATCACTTAAACAACAAATAGAAAAGTGTTCCTTATTGCTCTTAACTATTTTATTCTCAGGTGCCCATTGTAATAGTTAAAACGAAAGATATGCGCAATTCCACAAACATTTTCCTTACCAATCTCAGCATTGCCGACTTGCTAGTGCTGCTCGTCTGCACGCCCACCGTTCTCGTCGAGGTCAACACACGTCCAGAGACCTGGGTGCTTGGCCATGAGATGTGTGAGTTTCAATCAGACAGCTGTTTGTTTGTTTGTTTTTTGGCCAACTTAATTAACATTTCCCGTTTTCCTTTCTGCAGGCAAAGCTGTGCCATTTGTCGAGCTGACTGTGGCTCATGCCAGTGTTTTAACCATCTTGGCCATCTCATTCGAGCGCTACTATGCCATCTGTGAGCCATTAAAAGCTGGTTATGTCTGCACCAAGGCTCGTGCGATTCTCATCTGTGTACTGGCCTGGGGCATTGCTGCGCTCTTTACGAGGTAAGTCCAACCCCCTCTCTCGCACTTCTCCATTATCTATCTGTCTATCTATCTATCTATCTCTTTCTTTGTTCGGGCAGTGCAATGAACTGGCCCGTCTTTTGTCTGTCTTTGTACTTGAAGCGCTCGTAAATTAAATTAATATATTAGCATTATTGTTCAAGAATTTTGATTTGGTTGCTACATTTATTTATTATTCTCTTGTGCATGCTTTGGTTATGGTATACGCTTTCGCTCTCTCTTTCCTTCTCCATCTCTCTCTCTCTCACTCTGTCTCTTTCTCGTACTATTATTATTATACATGGACGATAAGACATTATTCTAATTCCATTTACATTTTTGGCTTGTATTTATGCAGTCAAGCATTAAGTTCGTTTCTCATTAATTATAAGTGTCAATCGTGGCTATTTTTAATGATTTGTATTTTGTTTTCCATTTTCACATTTCCTCTGTCCTTTTCTCATACCCTTGCAGAGGTATTATAATTTTGTCACAAAATGAACATCTTATGGAAGGAGGCATTCATCAGGATGACGAGCTTATATTAATTCACACAATTATAAAAAGAAAATTAGACAATATTCCAAATATTAAAAAAAAAATGAAAATTAATAAATTGTTTTTATTTTGTCCTTCGCTTGTAAACTTCTGTAGTCGCTAACTTAAATTAAATATTTAGTCATCATTACATAAAGTGTTACCTATATAAATATGCTTCTAATAGTTGACCAATTATTTATTAACATTGAATTTATATGTTATATGCGTAGCTGCTCTAGAAAGTTACAAATTTAATTGTCGAATTTCTGATCTGCATTAGAAAACTATGTCAAATACGAGATGTGACATCGTAAATATATCGCTCAATGGACAAATGTTTCTGCAAGTGTATTTCAGCTTCGGCATGCCGAAGAAGAGTATTCCTTTATTTTGGTGTTTGTTTTTGACCTTTGTTTGGAATCGACTTCTCCATTTACATGCTAAACATTGGCAGTTAGTGTTACGACTACCCCACAACCTATCTCTATCTCAATATCGCACACACTCTCGCTCTCTCTCCACATTCACTCAGCATCCACTAAGCACGGTATTTGGTTTCTTCTTCATGGTGTATTTTGTCGGTTGTCGTTTGTCGATTGTCGGCTGACGGTTGTCCAGCAGCCTGCCTCAACTTTTGTCCAGCTGTCATTATCAGCGCACTGTCATCTTTAATAAGCAGCAATGTCCGCTATCATTGGGCATTTTCATTTCATTGACACTTTCTTATTGTGCGTCCTTAGGACGGTCAGCGACCCTTTTTAATTTTGTAAATCTTGGTGTGACCATAACAATGAAATAAACAGAACATTCTACCCACTGCGGGGGTTATGTGGAGACGTTGGGTAGGTGGCTGGTAGGCGTTTTTCTTTCGGCGCCGTTTGGCTATTAATTACGCTACCCAAGAAGCTGCCACAAGGCCGCATGCAAACGCCCTCCGGCCAGTTGAGAGGCAGTTGCACATAATTCAGACTCATCCAAGTGGCAACACACTGAGTCCCTGTTGGCCGTTGACTGTTGCCTTGATCTGCGGCCGCGCGCCCATCTGCTACTCGTGTTTGCATACCGTGCCAAGAAAACATTGTCTTGTTAAGTTATGTGTTGGAAATTAAAGTATAAAGACACAATTTAAAGCAATACATTTTCCTATCAGATAAATCAAAAGACTTGAACTGGAAAAGCTATAAAAAATATTAAACACAATGAGAAAACTTCTAATTGGAAATACTATAATTTCGATCTTATTTGATGCAACTGTTAATCTGTTTTAATGCTAATATTTTGCATTCATACTTTGGTTATCTCACAATAATAGTTTTACAACCTTCTTTGCAAATATGCTCGCTTTTTCACTCTATCTGTCTCTCCGTCTCCATATGTGTCTCTCTCTTCCTCTCTCTCTCTCTGTCTGTCTCTGTCTTTTTCTCTGTCTCCAAGCAAATTCATCAATAGAATATTAGTCCACGTCAGAAACAGCCTTCAACATGATTATGTTTCTTGTTTGCTCTTTCTCTCTTTCCCTCAAAACATGCTCTCTCTCTCTCTTTCTCTCTCTCTCTCTCCCGCTCTCTTATAGCCCCATACTGTGGGTGGCAGAGTACAAACTGGTTGAGTATATTGATGGATCATCGGTGCCAGTTTGCCTGACGCAGGCGATTGGCGTATCCACCGTTGGTTTCTTTCTGATGACCATCTCCGTATTCTTCGCGCTACCATTTGTAATGCTGGTCGTCCTCTATGGCATCATTGCACGGAACCTCATATCCAACGAGGGTCCCATGCTGCGCGCCCGTCCCACCAAGCCGGAGCTGAGTCTGAAGGCTCGAAAGCAGGTGGTCCTCATGCTGGGAGCCGTTGTGCTCTCCTTCTTCGTCTGCCTGTTGCCCTTTCGGGTGCTCACGCTCTGGATCATATTGAGCACCGAGCAGACGTTGCACGACATCGGCCTGGTGCGATATTATAGTCTGCTCTACTTCTGTCGCATCATGCTGTACCTCAACTCGGCCATGAATCCCATACTCTACAATCTGATGTCTACCAAGTTTCGCAAGGGTTTCGCTCGACTCTGCCACGATGCAGGCCGGTGGCTGCTGAAGCTGCTAACGCTAGGTCGCTGCAGCCGTAACACAGCAGCGGGAGCAAGAGACTCACGCGGACGCAGCGGCACTGGCTCTACGGGCATCGGTACCAACACGAACTCATCCAATGCGACGACAGCTGGCACCAATTCGAGCATTCTATCACGCTGCTCTAATCGACGTTGCAGCGATGAGATTAGCCGCACACGCTTGAAGATTGAGCTGCAGCTGCCATGTGGCAGCGATCTGGAGGCAATGGCCATGCTGCACAACTCCACGTTGAGGAACAAACAGAGGCGTGAGAGCGATAGCAAGCTGCTCGCCAGCAAGAATCTGCGCCGGCCCAAGCAACAAATCAGTTTCGATGAGGCAGCATTGGGCGGAAACCGCAAGGAAGCTGTAAATCTTGCCTGAAGCAATCGAAAGCCGGAAGAGGAGACGGGTTTCTCCAATGTCAGGCGAAAGTGGAGTCCTATGGGGAAGAGAATGAGCAATCATGAAAAATCGCCTGTAACCCGTTTACACTTTCGCTTCAGTTGGCTTGGAATGTGAAATGTGACTGGCAGCTGATCCTTGGTACAAATTGCGTTTTGAGCGCTTTTTTGTGAGCATAATCGATTCCATTCACCCGTTGACAGTCATTGACAGCGCCAGCTTCTGCTCCTGCTCCAGCAGCAGCTCCTTGGACATTTCCGCACAAAAAAACAATCAATTTTTCGGGCTATTAAACTCGAATGAATGTGCCAAAGATAAATAACAGCAACGACAGCCAAAGAACGACAACAACTATGACTACCACTAGAACTACAACTACAACTAAAGCAACAGCTACAGCAACACTAACAAAATAGTCAGGGCGGAGGTGGGGCAGGCAGGATGAAGGCGGGGTTACGGGTGGCCATTAAACGGTTGGCGCATGTAAAGCAAGGCTAAAATGGAAATGGCTTAATATGCGTTTGGGCAACCGATTTGGGAGGCCATCAAGACGGCGGATAAACATGATTTAGGTGTATTGAAATACAGAGTTTCAGTTCGTTTTACTCTTTCCCTTGCAGTTTGTCGGCCATTTTAGGGGTCCATTCCAAAATGGCTGCCATTACACGAGGCGACCATTCGAAGAAAAAAGTGTTGCCTACTTTGTGGCGGCGCAAATAAAATAAACAATGCACACGTCGCATGCAAACAAACACACACACACACATGCATACATATTTATATAAACATTTATATATATATATCTAATATATATACTATATACTCCTATACACATATATGTACTTATCTTGTATATCCTTAGAGGCGCCGAATTTGTAAGTAAATAAACATTTTTGTATTACAACTGAAGACGTGACTTGAGCAAAAGCGCATAATCGTTATCTGATTTTCGTAAACAATTGTACATATGTATAGTAAAAGCTTTAATCATTTATTAAAATAGTTATTGTCCGTTTTTCCCTTTTTTTCTGAAAAGTTTCAATTGTAGCAATTTCATGTATGTATATATATATATAGTGTAGTAGCAGTCGTTGCCATTTCCGTTTCCGTTGTGGCCCTTTGATTAAGTTGAGTGGTACTTCAAATTGGCAACTTATTTATGTATGTATTGTAGCTGCTGAATAGTTTTTAAAAATTGCTCTTCTTTTATTAGTTTTTTATATTTATGGCTCAAAGTTTGCAGACGAATAGCAACAAAAGCAATAATAAGTATAATTCACTCATTTCTAAACTTATACCTAAAACTCTTGCAGTCCCATCATTGCTATATCCAGCTATAGCGTGGAGCCCTATGGCGATGGAACAGATGCCCCCAGTTGCACCACGGCAGCCGATGGCTTCTGGCCCATCTTCTATTTTGTGGGCACCATAACGCTCTTCTTTTTCCTGCCCTTTGGCATACTGGTGCTCCTGTATGCGGCGATTGCCTACAAGCTGCTGCGTCCCAATAGTGCATTCCATAGACCCACCTCGCCGCAGCCACAGCAGGCGGCAACAACAACTGCAGCAACATCTGCATCAGCTGCAACAACCACAATAACAGGTAGCACCAAAGGCAACAGTCATCAGCAGAGCAATGGAATGCGAAAGCATCGCAAACAGGTGATTTTCATGCTTGTGGCGGTTGTCTCCAGCTTTTTCGTCTGCCTGCTGCCCTTTCGCGCCTTCACACTGTGGGTCATCACTGCCAGCGCAGAGGATGTGGAACGCTTGGGCATTGCTGGCTATTACAATCTGTTATATTTTTCGCGATTCATGTTGTACCTCAACTCGGCCATGAATCCGATACTCTACAACCTGATGTCGTCGAAGTTTCGTAGCGGTTTTTGGCGTCTGCTGCTCAGCTGCTTTGGCCAGCATCCGCATCATCATCATCGCCATCATCATCATCTTCGCTATCCCAATGTGGCTGGACGGAGTATGCGGCAGGCAATTCGCCGACAGGACACCGATCCGGATGAGGGTGTAACTGTGCTGGGCACAGGGAATACGCAGCGGGCACGTCGCACTCTGCGTCGCGAGGCCACATTTCTAATCAATTCCATATCCACATCGTCGGGAACCGAGCGCAACACCTCCTCCTCCAACTGGCGCAGCAACAGTCTCTCCACATCCATTGGACTGGGCGAGCGGGAGCGCGGCGTGCTGGGCGCTGCCATAATTGGCACCACGGCAGCAACTGTGACCACTGCCTGTCTGCAGGAGCGACGCTCGAGCAGAATCTAAACCACATCCAAAAATTATAAATCATAAACAAACAAAGAAAACCAAAAACAATAATGGTATTTAGTTGAATTCTACCAGCATAAATATTGAGTTTGATTCAAGCTTATATATGTATTAGTCCATAGTCATAGTTTATAGATGAAATTTTGTTGTTAAGACTGAAGTACCTCAGAAGAAGTCAATAAACGCTAGAAAAATTCGTTTTTGAAACCAACGTTATTCTTTATGAAACTGTCATCATTAATTTGTTGGAAAATTAATCGTTAATTGTTCTGGGCAAAAAAAAATATGTTCATTAAATTTTTATTAAACGTCTTATCAATTTCCATCAAAATTACACTATTTATGTGCCTAAAACAAATTCTCATCAATTATTGACGCAGAATGCAAAAACACACAAAATTTGTTCTTTTTGTTGTTAAATCTAAAATATGTTTTTTTTTTTGGATTTACATAATAATTACAAGTGACGAGCATTGTCTTTGAAGAAAATTAATATGATTTGAAATATGCTACTAGAATATAGTATATATATATATATAGCGACAGACAGTAGCTTGCAGAATTCGGAACGGTTCGGATTTGGTTCAATGCCAGGCTATAAGAAACACAGTTTTTGTTTGGTTTTTATTTGTGTTTTTGATTTTTGTTTTATGTTTATGCGTATAAGTATTAATAGTAATCGGTATCGGTTTCTGTATCGCTATCGGTATCGGTATCGTTTCGCGCCGCCGTGGTAAGTAACTCTTAATGTTAGATTAGGTTTAGATTAAGTTAATTACTACACCATTGTTTTTGCTTTGCACTACTTATATGAACAGAACTATTGAAAACTGAAGGATAGCCAGAGGGTAGGGTAGTAAGTATTACATATCAGTATCCTGTGTGTTCTGCTTTTCTGTGTGTGTGAATGTATGTATTATGATTAAATTGTGTGTGTGTGGGTGTGTGTATGTGTTCATGGATAAACTTGAACTGGTTTTGCGATCTGTCGCAACATACAAATGGGTTGTTTCTTCTCTCATACTCTTCAATACGCATCATTATTGTTATTATATAATTGTATTTCTGTTTGTTTGTTTTTTTTTTATAATTATGCATTTCTGGATTTATTATTGTTGTGTGTGTATGTGTGTGGGTTTGTTTGTTGCCTTTCTTCTTGTTGTTTCGTTTTAATTTATTATATTTAAATTTTGTTTAATTGTATAATAAAATAATGATTCACAATCAGAGTTATTTAGCAGCAACCAGATCTATTGTTTTCCACTGGGCGTCCCTGATCGATTTTCACTTTGCTAGCGTTATCGGTGGCGCTCGACGGCGGCCCAACACGATTCTTGATCTCCGCCGCCATCGTCATGAATGCCTGTTCCACATTGGTGGCACTCTTCGCCGAAGTTTCAAGGAATGGAATGCCTAACTGATTTGCGTACTCCTGCAATCGAAGAAGAGTGTTTAAATTAAATTCAAGAAATTGTACTTTTATAGGATTTGTATTTATGTTTTAGCTTTACGCACCGCAGCTATTGTATGATCGACAACCTTCTTGGTGGTCAAATCGCTCTTGTTGCCCACCAGCAACTTGTTGACATTTTCGCATGCATATCGCTCGATTTCCTCGAGCCATTGCTTAACATTGTTGAAGGACTCCTGGTCCGTGCAATCGTAAACGACAATGATGCCATGCGCGCCACGATAGTATGATGAGGTGATGGTACGGAAACGCTCCTGGCCTGCAGTATCCCACTAAACCAAATTCAAATAGACGAATGCAATTAGCAAATATGAAATCTATGACTTTGTTGATCAAACTTACAATTTGCAATTTAATCGTTTTGCCATCCAATTCTATGGTTCTAATTTTCTGCAAAAAACAGATTTGTTGAGTCTCAGTTTTATGGCTAATATGCATATTACTTACAAAGTCCACGCCAATTGTGCTGATATAGCTCTCTGTATATGTGTCATCGGCAAATCGGAGCAGCAAACATGACTTTCCAACGCCAGAGTCGCCGATCAACAGCAGTTTGAAAAGATAATCGCTACAAACGAGAGAAGCGAAAGAGAGCGTTACTGAAGGCCTTACAATATATCAGGGGTGTTTAAATACACGTCATATTTGCTTATCTTATCGCATACAAATTTGTGGCAACAGTCATTTGAGGTAAAATTTCGAAGATTAATGCATAAGTGTAATCAGCTTAACACCACACATCAAAGGACCATGATATACAGTGATTAGCAGAACATTTTCAAAAAAACATTTTTTAAAAATGCATTAAATATAAAATTCATAGCTCAAATACATAATGTTTTGAATAGCACATTTTTGAGAAAGCTCATGAAATTAAATATACGAATATAAAAGCAAAAATATATGCGAATCAATGACGGATTGCGTACTGGTCCACCTCCTAAAGCAGTTGCATATTAATTACATGTAAGCTGAGCGGTACACGTCCCGAATTTAAAGTTCAATTCAATGTGGAATAAAACAAAAACATAACACTCAACATAGATGGGAATTTGATTACGTAGCAGAAGCAGCAGCAGAGAACATCAACACACAACAACGACTACATATACGTAAAGCAGTCAAACAACAACAAAATGTACACGCCAGAGGGGGTAGGAGACGCTGGGCAGCAGGTGACTCATCCGCCCCTCGAATCAGCAGCGCAGCGCAACGGAACTGAAACTCAAACTGAGACTGCGACTGAGGCCAAAGACAAGGGCTGACTGAGTGGAATTTAAGCAAACAATAACTAAACAATCAGTCATGAATGTTTTCTCCAATTTAACCAATTCTTATGTATAAAGTCTCGAGCAATTATTATATTTGTATACTATATATTATTATATAGTTTTGGTTTGTATTTCTAGCGCGATGCTCTCATTAAAATCGTATGTTTTTCTTTTGTTGGTCAATGCCAGTGTGCTCTAGTCAAAATACTTGTTTAAAGGGAGTGTGGGGCTGGCGAGTTTAGTCGTCGTGGACGTCGCAAAAATGACGTCGCAGAAAAGAAAAAAAAGTTAGCAGTGCTGGTTATGGAACGCGAAGGGTGCAAGTTTTTTTTTATTATTTTTATTTTGCGTTTCTCAATTACGCGCAATTAATGCATGTGACGACTTACTATTCTGGATTCATAGATGACATTTTTCTTTAGGCTTTTGCTTTTGTTCAAATTTGTGTTTTTTTTTTGCCACGAACAAATAGTCGATTTCGCTGGCTGGGGTATTTAATTGCCTCTTGTTACTTCACTTTTAGCACAAATAGCGCGCACTGTATACTGTTTATATTTCCAAAAAGTTTTGTTTTTCTATCTTATATTGTATTTATTGCAATGATCTTGAGGGAAATTCGATAATTTCCACAAATTCGACAGCCGAGAACGAGAACAATGGCGACTGAAAAAATGACGAAGTGGCATTAGTGTGGTAGAGTGTCGTCAGTTATGAGCAGTGTTGAACAAGGCAACAATCAGGGCTGCAATTCCAATATCAATGCCCTGCTATCTGCATCCGCCGTTTCTGGTGGGCGGTAACCCACCTACAAATATACATACATATGCATGGACAAAAATTTATATCAGCAGTCAGCGCAGCTTATTGGAATATCAATTTAATACTTGCATCTGAATATAATCTCTTATTATACATTTATATATTATTTGATTCTAAACACGTCATTAATAACATTTTAAGAGTTTCCGCTTGCATATGCATATATGAATATAAATAGTAAATAATAGTAAATGTGAAAGATTCGATAAGCGGGCAATGGGAATGCATCGTTTAGATGTCGAGGGAAAACTTGAAACTGTCTCTTATCTCCCCTCTCACTTTATTCCAACGAATTCAATGTTAGCAACTGTTTGAGCACTTTCGTCTGTGATGTCTCACGTATTTCGCCAGCCAAGAACATCTCATCGACAACACTATAGACTTTGTAGAAATTAAAAACGAGATCCAGCTCGCACACATTATGGAAGTACTCGTTCAGCACCTCCACGAAATTATGAATGGCTTCCAGATAGCACAAGTTATTGTCATTGACATCCACGCAGATGCAGAAGTAGAGGCCCGCATAGCGTCTATATACAATTTTGAAATTTCGAAACTGGAGTGAGAAAGGAAAGGAAACTATTAGTTTATAACTGTTTTGGGATATTTTTAAGTAACGTTAGTTACCTCTACAAAGTTGGTGTGCTTGGCATCGCGCACTGTGACCACGGCGTGAACTTCTTCGATTAGTTTCTGTTTTTCATCGTCATCAAAGTTCATATACCATTTGGCCAGGCGAGTTTTGCCTGCCCGATTTTGTATGAGTATGAATCGTATCTGTGGAAGTTTTGCAAAAATTCAATCTCTCTCTTTCCTCATATGCTAAGCGGCTGGCTTACCATTTTACGGTATGTGTGTGGGTAATTACTTGAGTAACTACGCGACTATTTACAATTTTCAGCTATGGACGCAGCGAAAAAACTGATTATGAACAAATGTGTATCACTTTGGCCAGGGCTGGCTGCGTTTAGCGAACAGCTGTTCAAACGACCAGTGTTGCACATTGTCGCATCTTCAAGTCAGTTGGCAACGCCACACTTGAATCTCCGATTACGACGTTTTCACTTTTTTTTATATTTGTTTAGACATTACTTGAAGCTAGTCATTAACACCTCAACTGAATTACCAAAAATGTTGACGTCGCGCTTGAATCTCTGGCCTCGCCTTCAGTTGCTGCGCAGCTGCTCCACAACATCAATGGGCCAACGGAAAGAGACAACATCGTACGATACGATACACGATCCCCTGCAGGCTCACGCTCTCAAGGAGCAATGCATTTTGGTGGACGAGAACGACAAGGCTATTGGAGCTGCTACCAAGGCGGACTGTCATCGAGTGCATCCGGAGACGGGTGCCGTCAAGCTACATCGAGCATTCAGTGTTTTTCTGTTCAACACCAAAGGCGAAATGCTCGTTCAACGGCGCTCCGTGCATAAGGTGTGATTGGATTGTGGAATCCCAATGAGATTCATTGACAAAGATATTCGCTTTTTCAGATAACATTTCCAGATACGTATACGAACGCCTGCTGCAGCCATCCACTGTACGACATTGAGCAGGAACGACAGGAGCCCAATGCACTGGGCATTCGTTTAGCGGCCCAGCGTCGCCTCAACTACGAATTGGGAATACCAACGGATGAGATACAACCTGACAATTTTAATTATCTAACGCGCATCCATTACGCCAATACTGGGGACGGTGTGTGGGGCGAGCATGAAATTGATTATATACTCTTCCTACAAAAGGATGTGACTCTCAAACCGAATGCGAATGAGGTTAGCGAGGTGAGGTATTTGAAGCGAGAGGAGATCGACGATGCCATATCGAAATTTAGTGCACCGTTGACACCGTGGTTTGCACTCATACTGCGTCATCGACTCAAACAATGGTGGGACAATTTACATAGACTCCAGCAGTTCGAAGACTTGCAAAACATTCAACGGTTTTGAGAGCCAAACACAATAGGCATTGTGCTGCGCGCCTAGCAACAAAGCCCCAACTCAGACCAAATAACAAAAAATATTTGTGGAACCTCAGTTTATTGTTTTCGCTTTTCATTTTTATTTAAATTCGCTTTATCTATACTCAATTGGAAAATAGTAGGTGTGTGTGTGTGTTAGGTGTGGTGTGCGGACAAAGTGCACAAAGCAGAGTTTTTCATGCACCTCCGTTTATAGTTGAATCAGTTCAGTACAACGTATACAACAGCATCACATATGTTTTTGTATGTATGTTGATTAATATGTAGATATAACAAAATATATATATATATATAGTGTATGTATGTAGTGGGTATGCGTTATTATTCTTAGCACAAACTAAGTATGTGTTTCATATATATAAATATATGTAGCTCGTTAAATGATCACATCACGTTTACCATAATCATCATTATCATCAATCTTCTCAAAACAACAAAAATAAATATTTACAAAAATATGTACTATAAACTAAACGAGAGACTTAATAGGTTGGTTGGTAAACAACAAATATAAAAAACGGCCGTAACTATAAAGTAACCCTTAACCTAAAGACAGAAAACATCTTTATGACAGTTGAAAAAAATATAGAGAAAAAAGTAACAGACACACACAATAAATATATAGCTGCAGCATTTAACAGTCTCGAAGCGCGCACTTCGATGTGTGAAATGGTGAACAAAGCGCGAATTGATTTCACGTTCCCGGCGTCACCGTTCCACTTGGCACCACCTTGGCACCGTTTCCGGGGGGGAAGTACCAGTAAACAAAGGTTTTCTGTTTACAAAATACCAACACAACTTAAAAACTAGATTTGCAAAATTTTTCGCACAACTAATACGTAGATGTGGTAAGAGCATTTGTAGGATATAATGTATACGTATTTCTTGCACGAATGCGTCGAAGTTAGGTGTGTGTGAGTGTGTGTTCGCAATGTATGCATGCATGTGTGTATGTGTATATGTGAGTGTGTATGTGTGTATATATTTAGGTCAAGGTTAGCACATCCTGAATTCGATTAGTAATAGTTAAGGCACATGGTGTGAGTCTATCGTGAATCTCAGGCTCGTTTCAATTTTTAATTTTTTGGGTGCTAAGCACCACATTTAGGACAAGCCAAATAGCTTTAGGGCGTTGAAGGCCGTGGCCAATGCGACCTCATCGGGCGTTTTCTTCATGAATGCTGCAATCATTTCCACAATTGCTGGCAGGCTACACGGTTCGTTACGTTGAAAGGTGCAATATCTGTAAATAAAAAAAAAAATACATAAGTCTCTGCACTAAAAGGAATCCATTCTATATGCAACCTGTGTAAGTACAGCAAAGATCGTTCCGTAATGCCACTTTTCACATGCTGCGGCAGTTTGGAAGCTCGCGTGTTGGGATACATGAACGGCGCATCCGTTTCGACCAGCAGTCTGTCCAGTGGCAGTGTGCCATTATCCAGCAGCCTGCGAACGCCTGTATCTGATTTGTCCTTGCATAAGTAACCCGTCAAGCTGATGTAGAATCTGCGATCCAAGTACTTAAGCGCCTCCTCGGCGGTGCCCATAAAACCTCTGATGATCACAGGCGGTAGATTCTCGAATCTGGAAAGCCAATCTGATATTAATATCATACATTATAGTTGCAATATACGTACGATTAACCACTTACTTGTCGAGTATTTCGAGTACATCATTCTGAGCCGATCGCTCGTGGATCAGCAGAGGTTTGTTCAGATGAATTGCCAAATGCAATTGCTTGGCAAATATCTGTTTTTGCACATCCGGCTCGGAGAAGTCGCGCTGATAGTCCAGGCCGCATGGACCAACGGCAACGCATTCCGGCGCCTGTGCAATATGCTCGAAGTCGAACCATGTGGACGGCTCCTCCACAATGGACTTCGAGTCGTGCGGATGTATGCCAGCAGTCGAATAGATAATGTCGGGATAAATGCGCGAAAGGCGCAGCGCCTCCTTACTCGATTTGACCGAAGTGCCGTGCACCATTAATTTCTGAACACCTAAAACAAACACAAGAGAAGATGAGATGAGAACCAGAGATCACCAAGAGAAAGTGAGCATTGAAACTAAAAAAAAAGTTAGTGGTCTTGACGAGAGTGACCGACTATAAAGTACCGCGTAATCAGCTTATAATTTCCCCAAACAAAATAATTCCATGATTCCATAATCAATTAATAATTTTCCCTACAAAATAATCCTGGCTGATGGGCTTATGAATCGACTAGTGTTCTATTTCTTAGGAATGAGATTCAAATTAAATTTGTAATGTGTGGTCTTTTAGATCCATTTCAAAATGGTGTGTTGTAAATCGACATTAATTGGATTGGAGAAGTTTTCGAAACATTCCAATTGAGTAGACGCAATACAGTAGACGCCCCATAATTAAATTCAATCAATTAAATTTTTCTTCATTTAAAATTTATTTGTTTACTCACTATTATTTTTATTTTTTTAACATTCTACTCTTTAACACATTTTAATTTGTACAGGGTACGCACATTGCATCTCTAAATGTTGCATTGATGCGAGAAATACCAGACACACACACGCACACACACCTAGTTGAGGCTGTCGCACACATGTTGCATCTTTATCGCCCGTGTTGCTTGACCTTCTTAATGTGCGTGTGTGTGCGTCCGTCTCTCTCTGCACACTTGCTGACCACACTTGCCGCGCCCAAGACAGCTGTCATGTCTTATTATTAGTCTTATCGCACTTGTTCGCTTCTATTCTTGTTGTTTGTGTTTTTTGTTTTTTTAATTTTTGGAAAATGAACAAACCTGCGTCTCTTGCCCTTTGGACAACGGAATCCAGATCACGGCTATACTTTTTGTTGGTCAAATTTGCACCGACATCGATGACAATGAGGTTCTCAAAGCAATGCTTCATGTTGTCATCAATGTCCAGTTGCTCCTCCACCTCCTCCTCGCCGACGAGAGCTGTGGGAGATGTTGCGGCCACAACAGGCGCTCCTTGTTTTTGTTGTTCCATCGTTTGTACGTGTGTGTGTGTGTGTGTATAGAAGAAGTGTGTGCACGAAAATAGCAATGACGTCGACAGAGAGAAGATGCTTTGTCTTTGTGTAATTTAATTAGGCTTGCGTTAGACAAACGAACCACAACGGTTGCGAGAGCCGCGAAGAATAACTTGTGCTTTTCGTTGCAATATATATATTAAACAATGACCAATTAAATAATTAACAAATGGAACGTTTCAAATTATTAAAAATAAAAACAATACCCGACACGAACTACGACTGCTGGCAATGAGATATCGATATTAGTAATGCAAGAACATCGATATATTTCGTCTATCGATTATTGCCCGCAAATACTCACAAACTTTCTATATTTTCAACTATCGCCTTTGATATTTCGACGTTCTTTCGTCGATCAGGGCTTATAACTTCAATGTCACAATAATGCTTTGATCTAAAACTTCTCCCCCACAGGCTTAATGGTCAGCTCGTGAATCTGCACGTTGGGTGGCGTTTGAATGCAGTAAGATACCGCATCAGCTACATCCTCGGCACGTAACATTGGCATTTTGTACAACAATTCGGGCGAGTTTTTATCAAAAATCTCCGTATCGACGACCCCTGGACTGATGCTCTATGGAAGAAAGAGTATGCTTCAAATTTAGTTGGAGATATCATTAATGAAAACATACTGTGATCTTTGTCATGGTGCCCTTGTTGTGGAACTCCTGGCGAAGCACTTCGGTTAGCGCCGTGACAGCGTGCTTAGATGGTGCATACATGTTCAGGCTCAAGTCAGACACAACGGGCACACGATGTCCGGCAATGCTATTAATAATAATCACATGTCCATCGTTTACCCGGCGTCGCTGCATAGAGCAAAATGCTTCTCGGGTGCACCAGGAGACACCCAATACATTGGTATTGAGAATATTGCGCAGATCGGCACCATTTCCTTCATCAGTTATACAGATGCGACGAGTAATGCCCGCATTGTTTACCAGAACATCTGCACCACCGAGGTTCTCATCAATCCAGGCAAAGGAATCCATTACTTGTTGCTCATCACCTACGTCACACTGACGCCAATGGAATCGTTCAGCCTGATCGGAAGGTAGTGATGCCTTTAGTTCTTCAAGTCGATTTTGTCGACGTGCTAGGCCCACGACCGTCATGCCCTTGGCCACGAGATCTTTACAGCATGATGCCCCAATCCCTGAACTTGCGCCAGTTACAACAGCGACTCGATTCATCCACCGATTCATTTTGCACAAAATGTTGAATTAATAAAAAAAAATAAAATTTCGACAGTTGTTAAGGAACTGATCGCCACCGATAACGATAAATTCCGTCGCGCTTTTAGGCACTTTCACACAGATGTTTTTACACTCTGAAAAATAAAGTAACCATTTAGAATTCGATCCGCATATATACTTAATTATGTGTGAACAATGTTTGATATGGTAAAAACAAATAATTAATTTCGTCCATTTTATGACTCGAAAGCTGTTCTCAAATTCGATATAAAGTAAATAAATATAAATCTGTGAGCACTTATAAGATATCGAACTAATGAAAACTAATGATAACTCTTGAATCGTTCTCAGATATCTGAGGTTAACACTCAATAACATATTATTATTAGATAAGGTAAATATTGCTCTTCTCAAGCTTAACTTAATTAAAGTAAAAACTGGCGATTCATAGTTAATTATATTCGGATGACCTAAGTTAAAACCAAAGCATACAAATTGTTGATTAATATAGGTCGTCCTTCCAAAATCCGTATAGAGTAGCCGAGTCAGAGCTGTTTTTCAATAAGCTACACTCGCTTTTAACGTATCTTGGCACATAATTTAGATCTCGCATAATCTAAGATATCTATTTGAATTTCAAGGATTTACCGGATTCGAGCGGTGCTACAGTAAAATGCTTCGATTAAAATATTCCACTAATAAAATCTAAATAGTCTTTCATACAAATTTATCAACAATTTAACACAAATAATTTTTTAGAAAAGAAATCAAATTTATATGTACAAATATTGATATGTCCTTGTGTGTATGTGTATTTTCTTTCAATTAATTGCTTGGATACAACTGGACTAAAGAACTTCCCCTAGCGGCTTCAGAATCAGCTCGTGAATCTGCACGTTGGGTGGCGTTTGAATGCAGTAAGATACCGCATCGGCCACATCCTTGGCACGTAACATTGGCATTTTGTACAATTCGGGCGAGTTTTTATCAAAAATCTCCGTATCTACGACCCCTGGACTGATTCTCTATGGAAGAAAGAGTATGCTTCAAATTTAGTTGGAGATATCATTAATGAAAACATACTGTGATCTTTGTCATGGTGCCCTTGTTGTGGAACTCCTGGCGAAGCACTTCGGTTAGCGCCGTGACAGCGTGCTTAGATGGTGCATACATGTTCAGGCTCAAGTCAGGCACAACGGGCACACGATGTCCGGCAATGCTATTAATAATAATCACATGTCCATCGTTTACCCGGCGTCGCTGCATAGAGCAAAATGCTTCTCGGGTGCACCAGGAGACACCCAATACATTGGTATTGAGAATATTGCGCAGATCGGCACCATTTCCTTCATCAGTTATACAGATGCTACGAGTAATGCCCGCATTGTTTACCAGAACATCTGCACCACCGAGGTTCTCATCAATCCAGGCAAAGGAATCCATTACTTGTTGCTCATTACCTACGTAACACTGACGCCAATGGAATCGTTGAGCCTGATCGGAAGGTAGTGATGCCTTTAGTTCTTCAAGTCGATGTTGCCGACGTGCTAGGCCCACGACCATCATGCCCTTGGCCACGAGATCTTTGCAACATGCAGCTCCAATGCCCGCACTTGCACCAGTGACAACAGCGACACGATTAATCCAGCGATTCATTTTTAACTAAATCGGTGTCTGTTGCATCAATCGCTTAAGTACTTTCTTATAATCTAATCTCTCAAGCTGTTTTGTTTTTTTGCAATCCACATTAAGGTATCTTAATAGCTTTTGTAATAAGTTAGATTACATTAATTAATCTTACACTTGAAAAAATCAGAATTAGATAGTAGATGACGACCTACTTGTAGGTAATCACTTCGAGTGTAATCACTATTCTGCAAATTAATCAATAAAGACATTGAAATGGTATTTTTCTCCTTTAATTCAATTATTTATTACATTTATTTCTGCTAATATGCGTGTATCTTTGGTGTTAGTTGTATTTCATATAAATTTATATATATTTATATATAAATGTATTCTATTGATGTTTGTTATATATGCTTATTGTATAGCTTTATAACTTATTGGTTTTTTTTCACTTTCACTTTCATATTTTTATATTTTTAAATGTAAATTCAATTTTAAAACTTAAAATTCAATTCGATTTATTGGATAAATATTACTTATATATCTCTTTTCAAATCGTTGCAGTATGTATGTTTCTAGTTTATCAAAGTGTTTTAAAAAGCCTTTGTTGGTGTCCTTGAAATTAAACTATTTCTATTAGGCTCATCCCATCATATATGGTATATACTAAATATATATGATCTGCTCTACATTTGGTGAAGCCGTCAATAATAATAGAATAATATAATACAAATATTAATAATTGCAACAATACAACAAAAAAAATAAATAATAATATTAAACGGTATTCCATAAGTTACTAAAATATTTGGTTGTTATTGCATTTGCTGCTCTTGTCGGAATTAGTATATATGTTTATATATCTTTGTATATACTGCAATTATATAATATATATATTTATAATATATTATTGATATTGATATTTTCTTCGTTTTTGTTTGTTTGTAGTTTATAGCCATGCACTAGGCGCTGGGGATTTGTTTTAATTTCGTTGAATCTTGATTTTATTGAAGCTTGAAGCTGGCCAACTTGAGATGGAATCAAATCTTATAGCTTAAACTAAATCCTTGTTTAAAATGTAGCTTTGTAAAAGCGTGCCATAAAACAGCGCCTAATGCCCGCTCGTTTTAAACTTGATACAAATTTACATATATATAAGTATATATATATACATATATATATATGTATATAAGTATATATAGTATAATTTGTATATTTGCTTTTGTATACATACAAATGTTCGACTCGTTTACATTTATTACTTGACATTTATAAAATTTTGGCTAACAATAAAATTGCATAGTTTTCGTTATATGTATATGTTGTAGTTCCATAGTTACTCATATTATAATTATGTATATATATATATATATATATATACATATATATATATATAGCTTATTTATTATTTAAATTGTTATCCTTTAGAGTTGGTGTTGAATAATGTTTCGATTATTGTTTTTATTAGTGATACGTTTTAGTGCGAATGCTGGGACAGCTTGTTCCACCTTCCCCCTCTAATCGTCTTGTTCATTGCAGTTTAATTTTTTCTATATACTTAAGTGTACTTATCTAAACCAACAAATTAAAAACAAACAAAAAAATACATCTTTATCATTTCATCTGCTTCCCCGTAAACATTTCCATGGTCGACTGTTGCTGCTTTGTGCGCTTTGCAATGTTTACTTAACAGTTTTCCATAACTATTAGTTTTGTTAAACCCTATATCTCTAATGTGTCATGTCCTCAATTCGATTTGTGTTCCTTCGTTTTGGATTTTTGGTTTCATTTGTTATTTTGTGTAAAACTCTAATAAAATTGATTATTGTTTGTTTGATAGATGTTATACAGACGTTGTGTATTACATATATTGCTTATTCCAAAATCAATACAAATATATATTATATATATATGTATATATAAATTGTAAGAATTGTTCATACAAAAATTTAGTAGGTACGTTACTTTAGACCTCGGTGTTTCTCAAATTTGTTTTCTTTGATACTGGACATTCCTGCGCGTTTATTTATTTTTTTATTTTATTTTATTTTTTTTGTTTAAGGACGCGTTTCACTCTTTTCGCTTTCGTAGAAAATGTTTCAGCTTGGCCCATTTATTTCGGGCTGCTGTTGCTTGTAAAAAGTTGCTCTGCGTTGCTCAACACACAATTTAGTTTTCCATAGCAAGCTGTGAATATATATATATATATATTTATATATATATTTTTATTTTTATATATTATAGCAAATGATGAGTACAAACAATCTTAAAAATTGCATTACATTACGGTGTGATTATACCATAGTATAGTCAAGGTTAGATTTAGTTGTTCACTATTGTACTGCTATGTGTTTATGTATGTGTGTGTATAGTGTGTGTGTGTGAGTGTGTATATATATGTAGTAATATTATAACACGTGTAAATCGTTCAATGACTCGGTTTGATTGATGTACGTGCATTACGTGTTGTCATCTTGAGTATTTTTGTGACTAACTAAGCAAATCTAGTTAATATACTCTTGCAGACGATATTTAAATATTGTCAAGATATGTATTATGTCTATCCAGCGACATTTCTGATCTCAAAAAGTACAACTTGTTCCCAGAAACAAACATTCAACGCTAAAAGCGATATTTCGTAATGCAGCATTTCCAGGTAAGATTCCAATGCTATTGCCCTTAAAAGGTCAAGTTAATTTTGTGGTCATATGTAATAATCATCTTTGTATTCAATTAAGCGATCCAATTAATAAGAATTACAATTGTTTAATCAAGCTCAAAATATCTACTTATATATGTTTATGCAACTCTGAATTCGATTTCATGATTTCTTCATCAAACTCATTCAGTATTTTAATATTTTCGGACTATTGTATCATATCACTCCCAGAGACTCCGAAGTAAATTAAACATTTGCCATTTGTCGCAAAGATTCAGAAATATATCGACAAATTTCCAGTTGTCTGCAAGCATATTTAGTCTTCGGCACGCCGAATTAAACTGTTCTTTCTTGAATGTTATATTAACTAGTCCTGCTCGCCAGTCCATAACAAGTTGGTCATACGCCCGCCTAAGTTCTCCTCAAATTACAATGGATATGCGGCACGTTGCAGCAAAGCTCTGAACTTCCAGCATTGCCGACTGCTCTCACAAACCCCCCTCTTCCAGCTGCTCCCCCTCCAGTGTTAATAGAACTAACTACTTAGATCTGCTTAGATTTTTGGTGTCGGCAGTTTATATACGAGTATGTATGTATTTATTGTTTGTTTACTTGTGATTAGTTTATATATACTTATGCACATATTCACTTTAGCTCGGATTAATCATACAGCTCCGCATTGCGGCGGGGCGAGGAGCTGGCATAGCTCAGCTGGGAATCGGTTTTCTTTAGTATGGATACATGGTGAGTGGGCGCATCGCTGGAACGATTGTTGATCAGCGAGTCCTGCTTGTGGAGCAGGCCACGCCGCTGATCGGCAAACGAGATGACGGAGTCCTGTTTCACCAGCTGATGGCGTCGCGGCTCGGGTCGCTGATCCACAAACGAAATCACCGAATCCTGTTTGACAAACTTCTGTCGCTTGTCGAGCAACGATGCAGGCGTTGCTGTTGGTGCACCTCGTCGCGACTCAATGGAAATGGTGTCCTGCTGGGTAACTATGGAGTCTACGGAGCGATCCTGAGCACTCAATGCGGCCACTCGGCGCGCTTCCATGTAGGAGACAATCGAGTCCTGTTTCGATAACGAAACCTTGCTGCCATTGCTGTCCTGCTGGCACAGCAGACGTCGTGTGCCGGAGGCGTCGCTGCAGGAGCTCTCCTGCTTAATGAGAAACTGACGCGATCCATGCGAGTCCTGCTTGAGCAGCATGTGCTGCGACAGATTGCTGTCCTGCTTCATCATCATATTGGGGCGACGCAACGAGTTGTGCTCGTAAATGTAGGAGACGGCATTGGTCTTGCGTAGTCCCGGGCTGCTTGGACTCTTGCGGGAGCTATTTGGATGATAGTGCGAGGACTTCCTAGTGCTGGTGGTCGACGAAGCAATGGCCACGTTGTCATAGTATCTGCACCACGAAAAGAAGAAGTGATAAACCGTAAAATGTTAAACTATTCGAGATGCTGACTACAATTAAGAGGTTATCGCATTTGATCAGACAAATACTTATCAGATGCATAAATATGTTACTGAATCTACATTTTTAAATAATTGAGGACCTAGCTCATTTAGAGTAGTTTGAGAAAAACTTTTTACAAAATCTATAATTTCTTCAATTCAACAGTCGATTTTACATTTAAATTGATTGTCAGAGGAAAGGTTACACTTTACTGTTCCAGAGAGTTATTAATTTTTAAGCAAACATATTACAATGAAATATAACCTTTTGTAAACGTAAATAATAATCTAAGACGTGTAAAAGAAAAAGTTCAAATTAATCATTCGACACCCACCTGAGACGTCCGCAGCAGCTGCGCGATTGGATGATGGCGGAAAAGCCTCGTCGATATTTCTTGTTGACCGAGTAGAGAATGGGATTGATGCAGCTGTTGGAGGAGCCGAGCCATTGGGCCACTGGCATCACTTTCTTGAGTATCTCGAACTCCTCCTGCGATATATCCGAGCCGAACTTGATACGGGCAAAGATCACGTAGAGCGGCAGCCAGGAGACGACAAACAAAATGACAACTGCCACCAGCATTTTGATGACTTTCACCTTGCTCTTCTGCTGCATACGGTCCATTTGCGCATCCTTGGACATCTCACCGGGAATGCTGCGTGTGGAGACCTTAATCCAGATGAGTACATAGCATAATGTTATCAACGACATGGGCAGCAAATAGCAGGCAACCAAATTGGCCAGCAGGAAATACAAATTGCCATCGGTGCCCGGTGGCCAGACCTCCTGGCACAAATACTGCGGCTGCGTATAGGTGGAGATGAGGGCATCGGAGAAGACCTCCTCAGCTGGAACCAGATCGAAGAAGAGCAGCCAGGGTATGGTGGTGACCAATGCGATTACCCATATGCCAATTATCATGATGCGTGCACGTCGCTTCGTCATCTGCTTCAATGGCCACCAGATGGCAATGAACCTGTAAGAAGTGCCAACAAAGAATTTTTGAACAGCTACTGCTGCTGCTGAGATGTCGTCGCCTCGTCAAATGAGGATAATGGCAATCACGACGATGACGACATCGTTTTAAAAAGTCAAGCCATGCAAATATCTCAGCTGATTAATTCGCACACGCAGGATGCCCGGCATCATTAAGCCTTTTTCTGCTGACTGCTCGCTTTTCAATCTCCCACACGCGCCAGTCTATTGAACTTCTCTCAGCGCAAACCATGTGCGTCTTTAACTCTCCATCTCCCAGAGGTGGCCATTTCTTGCATGACCCAGCCATAATGAGGCGAAATTTGAATAAGAGCAGCACCAACTACCAACAACTACAAGTAAACTTGGGGAAAGACGGAGACGATATGGAGACGATTGCCAAGTTTTCATTTTGGCTTAGTGCTGGCTACTTGTTGTAGCTCTCCGTTCAATAGACTAACCACAAAAAAAATACAAGATTCGGTCTGGACTAGCAGAAATAGAAGGAAAAAAAAACATAATTATGGCTAAAGCATCAGCTTCAGTTCATAATCCTGCTTCTGCTACTGCTCCTGCTACTGCTCCTGCTCCTGTTTAGAGCCAACATTGTATTATTCTTAGCCACTTTGTGTCGTCTGTATGGCGAGAATTTAGCAGATAACAACACACAACGGTAATTTCATTAGGGGTTGACAACAAAGTTTTCAAATAGCAGCTGAAAGCCAAAGCCAATATCAAAAAGTCCAAATTTATACTTAAAGATATGTACTGACTGCACACTCAAAAAAAAGAGAGCTTTTGAACTTTGTCTGCTATCGAAATTTAATTTTTTTTGCTAAATTTTAGAAAAATATCAACTTATAGTTGGCATTAATATTTTGTTTCGAAATTCTTGAGTAGCAGAAACCATTATTCTATCCTGAAATATACGATAAATTTCTGAAATGAATTTTTACATCAATCTGTATATGCAAATTTAAATAGAGTAATCAAAACTCGGTTCGTTTTTTTTGTAAAATAATGAAAGTGCAAATCGTTTGCCAAGTGCGTGCCAGCAATTTTAAATTAGAGCTCTTTATTATTGTCATTGTAGAGTATACAAATAAGTAGGCAATAGCAATAAATTGCATTTACACAATTTGTCTACAGGATTTAGTTTGAAGGTCAACTCATAACTCTGACGACTCCCTCAATTATGTTTTTCTGTTTATGGTCAAAGAATAGGCGGCTAAGCCTCAGTTGATATGGCCTGACTAATGGCCAACGGAAGCTGACACTTATCGTTCGTGAGCGCCATCTGAAGACAAACTTTTCCCCCCACCAAAAATATATTTGCGCAAAGTAATTTACATAACGAAATGGCAACAGTTTAATAATTGGCCACACACAATGCCAGGCTCTGCTTTCAGTTCGCCGCTGCTTTTAATGGCCTGCTCATCCAGCAAATAAACAAGCAAAGAAGAAGCAAAAGTAACTTAAATGTGGTGCGGTTACTCATACGCACTGTTGACATTTGGGCAACTTTTGTACGCAGAGATATTTCCGTCGAAAATGACAGACACAGAAGCCGCACAGTCATTGGCATTAAGACCACAAGTAAGTGGCTTTAGAGGCACAAACACACACATACACACACACACACTCCACATTCACCGCCATCCGAGTGGCTTATCTGTGGCTCTTGTAATAATATTTATATGGGCGAATGGGGGAGGGAGTTGAAGACTTGGAACTGTTTGATGCATATACGCATAAAACTAAGAGCCCTAATTAAATGGCGTTGGTTAAGCAAGTGATAAGCAGCGAGCAGCACAGTGCGTGCTGATTTAAGTTCATGTTTCGGATAATAAATCTTAAATTTGGAATCACTTTACGAGTGCTCGTAAAATGGCATGAAGTTCAAGAGCACAACATGGATATATACATGGGCTTGTGACAGTTTGAGGCTTTTTATGCTGGTGACCAAATGTCAAATGATGTAGTCTCTTGCATTCAGCTCCGTGACACACCCACACACACCCCTCGACGCACTTGATCCTGCTACTGTTGCCTTTGGCGCTGAATAATGACAGGAGCAGCGGCTACAGCCACTGGCGACTGCTGTCTCTAAGAAATTGATATAAATGAAAGCGCTGAACATAAAGAGGCGACTCTTGTTATTACCGTAACCGCTGTTGTCCAGTGTGTCACGCGTGGATTCCACACACACACACACACGTCATGCTTGTCAAAACGTTTTACAGCCACTTGATAAATCAACTGGACGCAGGATTTCTGATTTTATGGGCATGGAGATTTGAGTTGTCAAGAAATCTGTAACACACTCGTGACTTTTTTATTTTATGTATATTTTTTTGTTTGCTTATGGAACAGGAAACACAAGGCGAACCTTAGGATTAGCTTCGCAAAGAAACCCAAGGTCAATGAACATTCTAGAACAACAAAAATGCGCCGCCTAATGCCAAATACGGACAAGGCGAGCTATGAACTTGATCTTGAGACTGGCTGAGTCTGAACCGCCGACTCACCGCCGACTCACCGCCGACTGCAAGCCGTAAGTCAGTAAGTCAGTCAGTCAGTTACCAGTTTTCCACTAGCCGGCTTGCATTGAGCTTCACTGCGTTCACTTTTGCAATCAATTGCATCCCAGCGGTCAGCCAGTTTTTGCGAACCAACTCCTATAAAAGCCCCACTCGACGCGACATTTGACAACAGTTGCAAATCATTTGCTCAGCACTAAACATATAAACTTGGAATCACACCAGAAACAAAAATCTACTACAAAATGTTCAAAGTTGTGAGTATTTCATGGTGGATGCCATCTGCTCTTCTAGCTAATAGTCAAACAACTCCATCCACCAGCTGTTTGTGCTCGCCGCCTTTGCCGCTGCCCAGGCCTATGCCTATCCCGGCGTCGTAGGTGTTCCCGTCGTCCACCATGCCCCCGTGGTTGCTGCCCATCCAGCTGTGGTGCACACACCCGTCATTCATCATGGCGCCCACGCAGTTCATGCGTAAGAGGGCTGTTAGCCACTCAAGTGAATTGCACATTAATAATCTTATTTCCCTTAGCCATGTGGTGCATCATCCTGCACCCGTGAAGGTCATTCATCCAGTTGTCGCCAAGCCCGTGGTTGCTGTGCACGCCGTGCACGCTGTGAAGCCCATCGTGCCACTGGTCCCTGTGCATCATGCTGCTCCCGCTGTTGTCGTGCATCATTAGAAACAGCACCTGACACCCTTAACCCAAGTCCCATCCAATCCCAACCCAATCCTGTATCCGAGCCCACAATAAAAGTTCAAAGCCACGTAAAAACACAAAACGGATATACTCATTTTCGTTGCACTTACCTGTCTAGGGAGACAGCAATTAAGCTGTAAACCGATGCTGCCACGGACACACCCTGTATATAGGGCACAAACTTGCACATCAGCCAGCCAAGCATCCAGGCTAAAAATAACAATATACAAAGAGTATTTTAATATAGTGCATAAGCACTGCAAAATGTATGCTGAGTAACTCTTGGTCATGTTTATGGTCTACGACTAGACTGAATTGTCGACTAGTCGGTGTCGCTTTTTGTCCTGTTTGCGGTCGGTCCTGGTTAGCGTTCAATGCTTTTTGTCCACGTTCACATTTATGTCGTCGACATCGTTGTTTGCTGACTGAGATTTATGTGCTGCATATCATTCATAATTTGGTGACAAGTCTCAGATTGCCACCAGTCACAAGAAGCACCATCGTGGTGCCTTGTGGTGGTTTTGAGTCATTGTTTGCCCGCCCGCAGCTTACCCAAGTTAATTTGTATTCTCTTTATTATATTTGATGCAAGATGGAAAGCATGATTTGCTGTCTATATATACATATATATACTTACATTCTTAACTATCAACATTCAGCTACACTGAACAAATAAAAGGGGAAACACGTACATCTCGAGCCCGAAGCGATCCGAATATGTTTTTTTTTTAAGGTTTTTGCAAAACAAAGGACACAAAAAATACTTCAACAGCAAATTTTAATAATATAATATACACGTATAAGACTTATACCTAACCACATTTACCTTCAGATATAATAATCATTCATATAATAGCCCAACCAAAACTAGTTTAGTATAAATCTAATTGTTAAAGTTAATAGTTTAATCAGAAAACTGAACTTAAAAATCGTAGCTGCTCCTTAGAAGAAATACTTTAAATATCAAAGAAAACTAAAAATTTAAACAGTGATCGAATTTCAGGCTAGTTGTTTAGAAACTATACTTTTTTCTCAGTGTTCAGTTGCAGCTCCATTGATGTGCTATGAATTCTCTGCAACCAGCAGATAACTTAGTCAGACACAAAAGGCTGTAAAGGCACATAAGAGTCAAAGGAGACAGAGGATTTTGACTCCTTAGCACACGCTGTCATCAAGGTTGATGACAGTGCAAACCAAATTTGATGGCTTGGCAGATCGAATGGCAATTAAAAGGTATTAATAACAATAATTACAGTAACAGCAACAGAAAATGACAAATTATAGCGTTAACACCGCGCAAAGAGTTCAATGCACGACAATAAACGACTTCCACAAAATCATATGACAGGGTCAGAGACGCATCCTTACAGCAGATGTGGCTGTGGTTGTGGCTGTGACTCCTCCTTAGCTAATTTCCTGTCTCGTTCGCCTGTCTTATCTCGATTTTGCTGTCGCTTATTATTATGCATATGTACTGCAATGCGAGCGAGTTTGCCAATAAAAACTAAATTTAATGCGATTCGGCACATAAACATACAAATATTATTATTTTATATTTGGTGCCTTGTGCGTAGATAGACCGTAACTGAACTTTTTTGGGGCAACACACTCGCAAAGACCACGCGGGGACACATCTGGACACAGTTGACAGAGCCGGACAGTAACTTAAATAGATTTTAGATACATGTTTTTTTTTTCAGGCTGCAACACTCAGTGCAACAGATATCACATAAATTACATGTTACAGGCTATTAATATTAAGTTTGATATAGCGTTGTCAAAAAAGTTGTTGTTTTTTTTGTCAGGGGGAAACTTTCTTGGCAAGAAGTTAGTCCCTGCCAAAGTTTCGAGCTGAACCCAATCAAATTGAGCTGAGAGTAGAAGAGGCATTAAAAATATTGATATAGCCGATTACTTGAGAGTCAAACGTGACTTTAAATTTGTGGATATCTATATAAATTAACTTACGCACAATATTGATAGAATACTGCAGATAATAACAATCGATATTTTCCACTTATCAGCACGGCCTTTCCTTATGGCCTTCAACCTCGCTGTAAAATGTCAAACAGCTCAGCTGAAGTCTTTACGATTCTCTTCTCAATTTTACATGCTCTCACTGAGGGCATTTCAATTATGTGCAGAAATGTGGAACCCATTGAGGATTAAGGCAACTGCGAATATAAATATTGTACTCAGCTAATAAAAAACCATAGACAAAATATCATCCTCATAAAATATGAAATGTCTGAGAAGCGTTTCATTTTGATGTAAACGAAATCAATTTCTTAAAAATAAAATTATTTGCAAAAATGTTGAAAGCAATCCTAGCAGTTTGCAGACATTCTTGTTTTAAAATAAAATTCAATGCACTTTTAAGAATATCACAAAATAAAATTAAAGCAAATCTAATTAATATATATTAAACAGCTCGCTCAAAAATGTATTGCCAGCGTACAAAATGATTTTTTTTATAATTTTTAAATTGATTACCATTTTATATAAGTCTTGTATTTTGGTTCAAAAGCATACAAGAGTATTTCATATTTGGCATCATGTCAATAGAGATTTTTGCATACATTTAAGGCCAAGTCAAGGCAAACTTCGCGCTAACTTTTTCTCGCCTCGTAGGCGGAGTTGATGGGATTTGGTTTTTGCATTGTTTGCGTTTCTTTGGCAAAGAACAGATAGCAGCGTGTGGCATGTGGCATGAGGAACCCATTGAGTAAGGTCATAAACTTAATGAAATAATCGGGTGGAACAAATCTGACGCTGTTGGTGTGTTTGGACGAGGGTTCGATTGAAATTGGCGTGAATAGCTATGGATATTACTTAGAGCATAACACTTCTGGAAAATGCTTTATTGTTATGTTTATCATCTCTGCTGCGTCACGTTCACGTTCCGTGGCTGTCTGCTAAATTGAATTGAAGCAGCCTCAGCCGCAACACGGAGCAATCAGGCGGATCCTAACTAGAAACTGGGAGATAGAAGTTAAATGCTGCTAGAGGCACGTAGCAGCAAAATTAAAATACCAATGGTAAATCGCCAAGTGAAGAAAAATGACTTCATCAGAAAAACAGCAGCAGCTGCAGGAATGGCCGATTTCGTGCTACGCATAATGTTCAAAAAAAAGAATTTAAAATAAATAAATATAAAAAAAAATTGGGGAATTTTGTACTCAAATCAATATTTTACTTAAGAATTTGTACAAATCTGGCTATGCTGCTTCAGAATACCAAATTGTTCTGTGAGATGGAACAAGCTAAATAATGATTGTTTTCAAAGCCAATGACACATGTACAGACATATCTCAAATTATTACGTAGAGAAAGATTCTTTATTTTAAGCACTCAAGTTTTGTTTTTAGTTTCAAGTTCAATACGAAATCACATTAAAATTAAAACATTATTGTATGTTTTTTAATTAAGAACAAAACTTTTAGTTTACATTTCAAAATGTTTGTAATGATTATTTTTTTCTCAATTCTACAAATTTCGTAATTAGATCGAAAAAATTTGAAAAGCAATTGCGATTTTAAGAAGCAAAAGCATAAGGAATTTTTGACTAAGAAAAAGCTAAACTTTTTCTCTGAGTGCATTTGACGAAGGTAAATCACATCGCCGTTTAATGAAGAAATCGAGAAAAGTGGCTTTAAAATACGTGACACGATTTCACAATGCGAATTCAGCCGATGATCTTAATGATAACGATTTGGCATTGATAACAAGAACGGCTGCGGAGCTGTAAAATGCCATAAAAATCCAATTAGAAAGTACCGCACAATGAAAAGCTGACTGAGGGGAAGGGGAAGTGGCAGGCAAGGAAGGACATGTAACGCCGTGTCTCAAGGTGGCATTGTTCGCCCGCTTTGCTCGGCAAATCAATTCATTTCGCATTTTATTGGTTTTCCAAACACACACATAAATAAAGGCTGAAGTCGCAGTCGAGGAGCCACAGGCCCAGCCCAGGTAAAAACAAACACATCAAGCACACACACACACACACACACATATTGACTCGTTGCCCGTGTGTGTGTGTGTGTGTATAACCCTGACTATTAGGTTGTCGAGCAAAATATTTAGGTCAATTCATCCAGCCGCAAAGAGAAAGGTCCTTGAATGCAAAACAACTTTCCATTGCAATTTCAAAGGCTCCGAAGGTGTGTGCTTAGATAATGACAGCACCTAAAACAGCAGCAACTAACTGTATATAGAGTAAGTACATAACTATATCTATATCTATCTATGGCCGGACGTGCAAATATATCTCAAAACATAACTCTAGCTCATAACTTGACTCGACTTAAACGTTTGCCGCTTTTGCGACAGCTGCAGGCATTTGGCTTAAAAGACCTTTGGGCCATTTTCGTTAACTTGGGTAGAAGCACACGCAGCATGTTGTCGCCCACAAGTCAAAATGCCAGCATTCAATAATGGCCCAAGGGCTGTCGCTATTTATTATTGTTCTTGTTGCTGTTTCTTCTGGGCCTATGCAGCTGCGTCTGGTTCTGGGTCTGGGTCTGGGTCTGAATTGCTTACCCCAACCTAAGCCAACACACACACACACACACACACACTCACTTACATGCACACAGAGACACACACACACAAATACACACAGAGACATACTCTTTCACACTGACAAACACTCGTATAGTGACCCACTAAGGGCTGGCTTTGCCCGTCGCACCCTGCGCCTATGTTGAATTTGTGAAATTAGGTCAGTTCTGTGTCGATGATCCTTCAGGCCACCCTTAAAGCAGCAGCAACAATGCAACAGCGAGAGAGAGAGGGAGAGTGAGAAGGAGAAAGAGTGAGAGAGAGAGAGAGAGCGCCTCAGAGACAGCGCGAGTGCGCACTGATATACCACTCCAACAAAAAACTCACACACTCCAACACACACACACACACACACACTGCACACAAACACACACTGCAGTCTGCTCATTCAGTTTTCCACCTGGACGCTTGATTCGTTTTTCATGTTTTTTTTTTGCCATTCGGTTCATTTCGCTTACTACAAGAAAAAGAGCCCCAACCCCCAGCGACCTGAGAACCCCTCTGTGCAACCCAAGCAACACTTCAGCGCAATTCTTTATACTGTATGTGTCTTATGTTTGCTCTTTGTATGGCAACAGCAACAACAACAACAACAACAAAAGAAGAAATAATACAAGAACATTTCTAAGGCACAGCGCATTTAATTGGCAAACGTTGGCGCCACCAGCGAGCCTAAATGCGGCCAGCTGTATTCAGCTGTATGTTGGGGTAGCTACTATATGAGGGCATGGTAGGGGCTTGGGTCTAGAACTGGGTCTGACCTGCCCTGACATGTCATGCATTGCAATCAGCGTTTGATTTCTGAAGGATTTTGATCATTTTTTCATGTCGACGCTGGGCGCCCGATTTGGATTTGCATGCAATTTCTCAGACAGGAGCAGGCCCTGTGACAGTCGATTTACCCAGTTGACAGTTAACACACACACAAACTCAAACACACACACACACACAGAAATACTCACACACACACACACAGATACTCACACACAGACACTGACATACACACGGCAGGTTGTAAGACAGATACTTACCAAGGTGATGTAAATTTATTAAAATTAAACCCTCACAATTATGCGTAACCTCGTTTATTGGGGCCAAAAGCCAAAGTGGCCAAGATTATAAAAAGTGGCCTTTCATTAAATGCGAGTATCATGTAATACTTGGACATTTACTTGGATTGCTGTCATTGAGACTATTAAAACGGTTTATTAAAGCGCTTTATTTAATAACAAAAGGATTCGTGAAATGTAAGTAATTTCATTGATATTGATTATTGGTATTTATGTATATTTATATATTTATTTAATTTCCCAGAACACCCAAATAGAATACAAAATGCGTTGCGTATTGATTGATTATTGCGTCAACAAAAAAATCTACAAGTTGTATTTTTTAGATTTATTTTATTAATAGCTAAGTATGAATCACTTCCTGCAGATGAATCCGACGGGATTCGAAAGAATAAATAATAAATAGTAAAAAAAAAGAAATGATAATATTATTTTTATTATATTAATCCACAATCATTAATATTGTCGTATTTTGACAATATCATCCGCTATTTTTCTTTCACTTTTGTTGATGTTTTTCACCAAAGCTTTCATCAAAAAAAAAAAAAAAGAATCCAAACAAATCCATTATGAAGCAAGGATTTTTATTACTTATATAATGTAATACATTTCGTTCCTTTGACATGCGACACGGAAAAGTTTTTAGTTAGATAGCACTCAAACGGATATGGTTAGATGAACTCATCATAGTCGTAGCGACTTCCTTCCTGTTGTGCCCCATTGATATATGTAATATATACCAAGGCTATAAAAGCAATGCTAATGACACTGGAAAATTCAATATGAGAAGCGAACCGAGTGTTTCACAAGCGCCGCATAAAACTGATGATAATGCAGGATAATATTTCAGAGCATTTAGCATGGGATATAAGCATTTTAGCACGGCCAGTATTAATGCAGCTATTAGCATTAAACTCGATATTCCAACTCGACAAATTGCGTGCCATATGCAACGTTTCGTTGGCCAGGCCTAATCCAAGTGTCGATTAATTGCGAAACATAAATCCACCCAATATGCGAAGCTCACGAACCGAAACAAAGAAAAGGAGAACCAAACACGAGACTTGCACGACAGGAGTGCTAATGAGCAGTCCATAAATCTGCTGACAAATACTGTTGAGCCACACAAATCGTATGAATAAATGCGAGTAGGGCTTCAGATAATGGAACAACAGTTAAGCGTTCGCTTTCTTCATTTATCAATCGCTTGTTTTCAGTACAACTTTGGTCTTAAGCACACATTTATTAATTACATTGCATTAAAATTACGAAGGATAAAGCACAAAGCATTTTAATAATGTCGACGAATCAAATTAAGAATATTTTTTTTTATTTTTCTACTGAGTAGAAATAAAAAACATTGAATTAATTATCGTAATAAAATGTTCTAATTAGTAGAATATTTTCTCTGAATAATAGAGAACATTTTGAAATTCATTTTCAGTTAAGGAGAGTTCTTTAATTTTATATACAGAACTTTGACGAATCAAAATTCAAAATTAATGCAGAAGTTTGTTTTATGTTATAAGTTTGTTTCATCTTTGATGACCTCTTTCTTATTTAAATACGTATATAGTTGGTCCAAGTCAAGTTCTAAAAGTCAATAAAATGCAGATGATGCTGTATATTTCTTAGCATGAACAACAATTTTGAAGAGATGTAGTAAAAAAGGTTTATTGTATATTGTGAGTTGGCTTCGGGGTAATTCTTTAAATTGCCGTAATAAAATAAATTCAAAATCGGGGTCTACTTACGGACAAAGATGTTTCCGATGAGCGTGGCTGGCAGACAGAAGACAATCACCAGAATGTCGGCAATGGCAAGGTTGACGATAAAATAGTTGGTCACGGTGCGCATACGAGGAGCACGCAGAACGACGGCAATCACAAAGCTGTTCCCGATGAGACCGATGAGGAACACCGCAATATAGGCCACACAGTAGACAATGGACATGGCCAGCGAATGACGATAGATCGGATCGAAGCCAAAGTCAACGTTGCCATCCAGTTGCTCCCAGCGTAAATTGCTATCATTGTAGGATTTGGTCGTGGACACGGATGAGATCAGGCTCGTCGTTGCCGGCGACATGCTCAGCAAGCTGGCATAGTAGGTGGATGAGGTGGCATCCGCCAGTGCAATGCCACTGTGCCCCATTGCAAGTGCCTGTTGCGTGGAGACTAAAGCCAACTGGGAAGATGTCGCCGATGTTGTTGTTGCTGCGATACTTGACAACAAGGAGCTGGCGGCGGGTGCCACAGTCGCTGTTGCCGTGGTCAAAATGGTACCCAAAAGTGTGTCCGTAATGGTGCCGTTACTCAATTTAATAGCACTGGATGTGCTCGAAAAGTTACTGCTGCTGCTGCTGCTGCTCTCATTGAAATTCAAGAGTTTCTGCAAGTCGACGACATTATGCGTGAAATTATTTGCGCGGTTGGCGACATCCTCCATTATTTCATTTTGCTCCGACATGGGCCAAGCCTCGCCAGGATCTACTGTTGGCATTGTTTCTCTAACTGTGCCATTGCTGCTGCTGCTGCTGCTGCTGCTGTTGGTGGTTAATCTTACTGTAGTTGTTGCCAATGTAGTTCTTGCTGTGCTCGTCACCATGTCGCCAGCTGTATAATTTCGATGTTTGCGTTTGCGAATCTTGCCACTGGAAGCCATCATATATTAGAGAACAAATCTGGCTGCTTTTAATGGCGTCTCGACTTCGGTGTCTGGGCAATTTTGATGTTAGCTCTGATTGCTGTTACTTTTGCTGCTTATATTGGGGTCATTCTTACAAAAAGTCTATAAAATTGGCGTCACTTGGCAAAATGCTGACATTAAAAATAATTCCTATTTGTATTTTTTTTTTGCGTTTTCGGAGTTTATGTTTGTGGTTTGGTTGTTGTTGTTGTTCTTGTTGTTAGTTGGGGTTCGAGGATATGTTGATTTTTTCGTGGCTGTGCCGAATTAAGCAACATTCAATTAACTTGTGTGCACAACAATGTGTGTGTGTGTGTGTGTGTGTTTGGGGTAGTTTGTTGTTGCACAATACTGGCAAGTTTAGCGCTTCCCAAGGTTGATATGCAGTTCGCAAAATATTTGTAGCTGCATACATATATATACCTGTTATAGTTGTTGTTATAATTGTAGTTGTTGTTGTGGTTTTTGCTGCTGCTGCTGCTGCTGTTGTTGTTGTTGTTGTCGGCTGTTCGCCAGTTTGGTTCGGTTGTTCGGTGCTTACGGTTGCCTTGGGATGGCATTACGAAAACTCTGCGAGTCCCTCAAGGACTCGTGTGCATATTTTAGATAAGGCCAAACGTTGGGTGCCCTGGACGGCACGGACAGGCGTACCGTTAGTGGCGGTAGCATTGAACGCTAACGCCGAAAACAAGAGGCAGATGTGGAGGCTGTGAAACTGTCGCTGTTCAGCTGGCTCAGGGACAGGGACATGGCCAAACATTCACACATGCGCAGGCGACATCTGTTATTAACTAATTGAATTGCCATTATTCTTTCAATTGTTTCTTTTTTGTGGATGTGTGCGTTTACTTTTCATTTTTCTTCTGTTTTTTTTTTTGTTTTTTTTTTGTTGTTGTTGCAAGTGCACGTTGAACTCAAAAGAGGCGTGCCACAAAGTACGAATTGGATTCGGCCATGCTCAAAAATAATATAAATTCCATTAGGCACAAGTGCCAAAAGCACAAAACATACTTTGACAAGCAGATCAAACTGAGCCGAACAACCATTTATAAGAATGTTTTTTCCGTTTTATTTTCCTTTTATTTTTGGGGGTGTGTGTGACAACTGTTGGCCCTGACAGACGAACTGGCGACAACAGACCCATTAACCGAAATTCAATGTGCCAGAAAGGGAAGCAGACAGCCCAGAAAATGAAGCGTAAAAACGCTACGAATTTAATTGTGCTTGTGTGGCACTGACATCCTGTGCCTGGCCGCACATTCAATGGTCCATTGGGTCACAGCAACAATGACAACAACAACAACAACAACAATAAGAACGACAACAGCAACAACTGGGACAATTGCAACAACCACAAACTTTGTTTAACAAATCGCTTAAAGGCAATGAGGCCAAGACAAACTAATTAGTTTGCTTGCTGCATTTGGGTTAAAAGTGCAAACTAATTGAAACTGCAACTTCACACAACTCCCACACACCAACACACACACACACATAGAGATAGAGTTCGACTAGCACCTACACAATCACAAATTTTAACACTACGCGTTGTCGTTTCCGTGTTGCCGTTCCATGGCTTTTCTTTTGTTTTGTTCTTGGTTTGTTGGAGACCGCGAGCTGTGAACGGTTGCGTGTCTGAAGGAGCACTGCTGCAAATGCTGCACAGCCAGTTTGCTTTTGAGGTATACGGCTCGCGCTAACTGGCACACACACACACGATAACAGGAGCCGAATGAACGAACAGTTGGCAGAGACGAATACAAAACGACTGAATGTAGGTCCTTGTTGCCAAACCGCGCCCGCCGCCAGTTGCCAGCACTTGGCTTCGTATCCGCTCAAACGCGCCCGAGAGAGTGGGCGAGTGGACGAGTGGTTGGCGGTTGGGTGGGTGGTTCACTCGTCCTTGCGGCTTGTGTACACTGAGCTGAGCAAATTGGGAATGGCTGGTGCCTGAACTCAAACCAAACGGCCCTCAAATGCATTGACAGAGTTATGCTACAAACAGTTGTTTTTGTGGCTGTTATTTTCTCTGCGTTTTTCAGCTCTTTTTTATTTTTTTTTTGAATTTGTTATTTTCACAGGCTCAACATTGTAGGCTCAAAAATTGAAGGACCACATTTGGCAATATACAAGGTTGAATGTCAGAAAATGTCAGGGAACGTCCTGGCCAGACCCTGAGAAAAGCTGCTGCTGCTGCTTTTGCTGCGCCTGATGTGTGGAAAAACACTTTACTTAATCAGGCTTAACAAGAGCCTATGCTTACCCTTCTCTGCCCTGCCTTTGCCCTGCCCTGCCCATCATTTACCATCACTGATTATTGCCTGCCCTTCTCCATCCATTGCCCTCTCGGGCCTCATTTTGTGCCACAATAAAGCATGTTGATGCTCGGAGTCCCATTCTTTGGGCAATACGTTTATTAAGCCATTTGACTGTTTCCCCCCTCTACCTTTTTTTCTTCCTTTTTTGGTTCGCACTTTTATTGTGTGCTATCGTATTGTTGCACTGCCGCAGGAAACGAAAGAAAAGCAACAAGCATTTGCTCTTGTCTATCATTATTGCAGGATACACGTGGGCGCCCACAGCGTATACGCAATTTCCGTTAAAGTTGCCCCATTATTCTTGTTGTTGTTTTCGTTGTTGTTGCTGTATTTCGTTCCTTTTTGCTATTGTTATTGTTTGCGTTGACAATTGCCGCCAGTTTATGCGTTTTTCTCTGATGACTTCCCCAGCGTTATTGTTGCTTGTTTCCTTCTCTTTTGGAAATCGGGGTATATAGTTTTTGAGGCGCCTCCCGTTATGAACATGGATTAGGGAACTGTTAAGCTGGGTCAGCCAATTTGGGACGAGCCAACTCCCAACTTCCAACTCCCCAATGTAAGCCCAGGCTTGACCCCAATTGTGTTTAGCATACTTCTTCTTTAAAGTTTAACGGCAGTTTGCCAAGTTTTCAGTTTCAATTCAGTTCTGTTTATTATTAAACTCGTTAGCATTCGTATGCACTCACTCTCAACCAGAACTCGCAACACAATTGAGTGCTTCCCACCAACTCACTCAATGAGAGAGTGAGAGTGAGTACGCAAATACCCACCCCGCAGGATACGTTGAGCACAGGATGCGCGCGCGCTGTCAAAACAGCTGGCTTTCCTGCTGTGCCACGCAAAGGTTCAAAAACCTTGTGCTTGGTTAAATACACACAAACAAAACGATGTTGATTTCTACACTGCCCAAAATTACAAGTGCTTCAATTTACAGCTTGAGGTAAAGTTCTAAAATTTAAAAATCTAAATCATTCGTATTATGTAAGTCATATTTTTACTACGACGTTTTATACACATGCGGAATAATAACTTTAATAATAATTCCCTTTAATAAGAAAAAGCTACACATTAATTTGTTAATTTGTGAATATAGATTTATTTATTCATATATTTTTTAAATTTTTTTGTGTAATATGTCATTGCAAGGTACTTACAAATATGATTCTAAGATAGTCTAATATTCTCCAAAAAAGTTTGACTGGAACCGTCTTCCAAAACTGCAACTCCCATAGCTTTGAATACTGAATACAAATTGTGTCTATACAATTTTAAAATCAAGCTATTTACCATTGTTTTTGATGTTCATATTTTTCGGTTTGTAAAAAAAAAATATTTATATTCTAAGGTAGTCTTTTCATTGGTTTGTTTTGTGTAAAACTTAAGCAATTAATATTCTTCCAAACAAATTTGGTAAATAGTTTTGTCATATCAATTAAAAATACCATTAATGGCCATTAATACCTATCATATGCCAACTTTGAACTGATTTTCAATTGTTGCTATACAATATAACAGTATAACAGAATTTAACACAAAAGACTTTTTCAAATGTTGTGGAAATTTCTAGTTGCAGAGATCCGGCAAGTCTGTGCGTCAATTCATCCTGTCTGTCTCGCCCGCACAATAGCGATCTGGCAAGTCTGTGTGTCAAGTCAGCCCCATATAGCTGTCACGCTCGCACAAAAGCTGTCTGGCAACACTTTTTTATTAATATAAAGCGAGACAACAATTGTTGCGTTTCGCCGCAGACTCTTTAGACTGTAGACTATAATAGCTATTGAATATGCTCTTTAATATGTTATTGAGACGAATATATGCTTATTTTACAGGAATGCTTGCTGATAACTTTTCCAAGCTTAAGAATGATGACACATTTGATAAACATTTAGTGGAAAATTTATGGAGCGTGACAAAGCCATTGTAGCGGCGATAAACGTTTACCAGCAATGCGTCACGTATGCAGCACAACAGCACTTTATTCGCTCGCACTTTCGAGACACTTCCATAGCACATAAGGGAGACAAATGTATTTCTCGAAGCATCGAACAGGCCGCATGGCCAGCGTATAAATAGAGGCCACAGCTCGCAATGCATTCATTCGTAAAATAAAAGTGTTCAAGTGAAGTTCTATCGTGAAATTAAAAATTCGTTGGGAAATATAGTACATATTGTCCCAGATATTAGTGCTGCTGTACATATATATATTTTTTATATCTTAGATATTGCCATATTGGCAATGGAAAAGTGTAGAATAGCTGTTGGAATGTCGAAGCTGAGGAGTTACATCATGGCACGAAGACTAAAATAATTGCTAGTTTTGAGAGCATTTTTTGCTTTGAACAAAGAAAAAGAAAACGCCCCGTCGTCGTCGTCATCATCAGCATCAACGTGGGCACGTCAGGCAAATTTCACAAATGAGGAAATGGCGATCGAGTTGTGTTCCACCTTTGGCTAGAAAGTTGCTCTTTAGGCAGGCTGAAACTCAAACTGAAGCTGAATCAGATGCAGATGCCAGATTCCATGGCGAGGCTTAAGGCTAAGGCAGGCGAGGAATAGCGAACTCAAAGGTTGTCCAGGATTTAAGGAGTTTGCATAGCAAGCCAGGCTTGTTCTCTCTTATACGTAAGCAATATTTATATGCATAAGGTGTAGTTTTTAATACTTTGTCAAATGACTCATATGCAAAACGTTTTCAAACGTAATGTCAGCGAATTTTTTTTTTTGCTTTTTCAAGTAAACCGATTCTACTTTCAAAATTTCCGAATATTGTGTAATTAACTTTTGTAATTTCTGTATTGCGTAATATCGCATCAGTGGATGCATTTCGATTATATATCTATATATATTCAACCCCAGCGCAAAAGGCAATGTGTTGCCAACTTTGGTCTTGACTTTTGTCTCTCACTCTATCTCTGTCTCTGTTTGACCTTCCGCAGGTGAGCAGCTGGCCTGCTCTTATAAATACCTCGCAATACTGTTTGCAAGTAAATTGTACTTATTCGTATGTATACACACATATTCCATCTCACTCGCACCAACGACTGCTGTCGTTAAGCAGCTGCAGCGGCTGCGCAGTGCATTTGGACCCTCCTTTGTTATATTCATTCTTCTCTACCTGGGTGTTTCCATCTTTGTTGAATACGCAGTTTCTTTGGAAAATTCCAGAACCCAAACGTTTTATACATCTGTCTTGCTTATATTTGGCAATTTCTCTGCTACTATCTACTTATAGAAACTAGTTGTTAATCTTATTTATTTCATTTATTTATGCCATTTTGATCATTCTTTTTACAAGTTAACCAAGCAATATGTATTTCTTTCTCTAAACTTTATAGTTGGGCGTGAAAAGTTGATACGCGAATCGATCGATGGTTGAACTCGTGCCCTTTGCGGGTGAATATGGGCAATTGCAATAGCCGTTAAATGCTGTTGGGCCCGATTAGCCGAGTTTTAACTGATCTGCGATTGTGTCGCGGCCAACAAAGGGTTACTATCTACTATCGTTTCTATCTGAATGATTGATCGTGGAATGAATTATAGGAACCTGTATCGACTTCTCTGCTCTACTAAGACTTGTTCAAAAATGGCGCACAAATTACATATCTATACGGCCTTCTATCGTGTTCACCTATTATCATCGTACCGATATCAATACCGATCAGAAACAGAAATATATCACAGTACTCTGACATCGATCGATAAATAATCGTATCTGGATTAGCAAGTGAACGAGCCGATTGCTAGTTCGCTGTACACCAAAAATCTCCGTCAAATATACTTTTTTTTCTTGTTATATATTCTTTTTGTTGTAAACATAAACTTATTGAAAGTACACGTAATGTGTGGTTCTTAAGCTTTTAATTACCAGAAACTGTTTAAATGATTTTTCTGTTTTTTTTGTACACGTCAAAAATTTAAGAAAACTTGTGTCCATTATTGTTGTAAATACTATATACTTCTCCAGATTATATATACCAATAATAGAAAATGAGAAAAAAAATTTAATGAGCTCACCAAGAGAAAAGAAAAAGAAGCTGCAAACAAAAAAGAATAAAAGAAATCTTAAAGTTACAATAAATTTCGAAACAATTGTTCGCCATATTTTTATTTTAAGCTAAAATTCTAAAATTTCAGTCATCAATTTCGGCACACAAATGGAGCCAGGGCCACTGATCTCAAGAACCGATAGAGAATTGCTTACGTGAACTAAGTATAAAAATATAATGAGATTGTACAAAATCCTTCCACGAAACAAAGGTTACAATAAAGGTATAAATATACATAACGATTTTTAGAAACGATCTATAACCGAAATCCACTAGAATCAATTCTCATATTTCATTTGAATATTGCGTACATATGGCTGAAGAATGATGAATATTATCGCCCACGTTTCGAGGATAATTGAACTCAAGGCCTTAATAAATTATTTTACAGATCAAGTGCTTAAAAACTGGGAAAAGCTGCACATAATTGATAATAATCAACGACCTCTTTTTGAGTAACAATCTTACTTTCAAAAATAATAAAAAACTGAAACTTCCACAGCAAATTGACAAATTTAAGATAAATTCCAGATATCACACACCCCTAAAGAACATAATTACAACACATCGGTCTTTAATATCAATTATTAAAATATGTCGAGCTTTAAAACTCTTCACACAAATCAAAGCAATAATATCTTACGTACAATGGACTTGAAAATTTCCATAAAAAGCCAAAATATAACAAATCGTTACATACTCAATTAAATTCAACAAATATTAAGGTCCAAACGATTACAACCGCCTTAATTGGCAAATAATAATAATACTTTCACAAAGTCAGACATACGAAAACATACATTTTTAAACATACAAGTAACTTATAACATCAAAACAAAAACACATTTGTGATCTTTATATTTTCCCTAGATTATCTTTTGTGTTCTCAACCAATCTCATTATAAATACGGAAATGTCCTTCATCAACAGCTTTTGCAAAAAAAAAACTAATGTGAATATAGGATTTTGGTAATGAAATAATTGATTCAAAATATCTTAAAATATAAATGTGGCTAGTCTCTGCTATAATATTGAATATTGTGTATATGAAAAATGCGTTATATTGAAAGATTATATTATGAAGGCTATGTAGGGACAATACTCAAACATCAAAAATGAAAATTACAAATTGAATGTCTATGACAACTCTCTGAAACTCCGAAAACGGTTACGGTATTATGAAAATAACGAAAGTCTATGTGTTTATTAAAACAGCGTTATAAAATATTATGAATCCTATAAAAGTATCTCTAGGATAGGTAGGTAACAGAATATGTATTAAATTTGAAAAGTATATGTGAAAATATGATTTTGGTTATAATTTATTTATCTTACAATATGAATTTCTATGACAACTCTGAATCTCGAAAACGGTTAGGGTATGGTAAAATATCGAATATTGTGTGTATGAAAAATGCGTTATATTGAAAGATTATATTATGAAAGCTAGGTAGGGATTATACTCAAACATCAAAAATGAAAATTACAAATTGAATGTCTATGACAACTCTCTGAAACTCCGAAAACGGTTAGGGTATGGTATAATATCGAATATTGTGTGTATGAAAAATGCGTTATATTGAAAGATTATATTATGAAAGCTAGGTAGGGATTATACTCAAACATCAAAAATGAAAATTACAAATTGAATGTATATGACAACTCTCTGAAACTCCGAAAACGGTTATGGTATGGTAAATAAAAGAAAATTGTGTATATGAAAAACGCGTTATATTGAAAGATTATATTATGAAAGCTAGGTAGGGATTATACTCAAACATCAAAAATGAAAATTACAAATTGAATGTCTATGACAACTCTCTGAAACTCCGAAAACGGTTAGGGTATGGTATAATATCGAATATTGTGTGTAAAAAAATGCGTTATATTGAAAGATTATATTATGAAAGCTAGGTAGGGATTATACTCAAACATCAAAAATGAAAATTACAAATTGAATGTATATGACAACTCTCTGAAACTCCGAAAACGGTTAGGGTATGGTATAATATCGAATATTGTGTGTATGAAAAATGCGTTATATTGAAAGATTATATTATGAAAGCTAGGTAGGGATTATACTCAAACATCAAAAATGAAAATTACAAATTGAATGTCTATGACAACTCTCTGAAACTCCGAAAACGGTTAGGGTATGGTATAATATCGAATATTGTGTGTATGAAAAATGCGTTATATTGAAAGATTATATTATGAAAGCTAGGTAGGGATTATACTCAAACATCAAAAATGAAAATTACAAATTGAATGTATATGACAACTCTCTGAAACTCCGAAAACGGTTATGGTATGGTAAATAAAAGAAAATTGTGTATATGAAAAACGCGTTATATTGAAAGATTATATTATGAAAGCTAGGTAGGGATTATACTCAAACATCAAAAATGAAAATTACAAATTGAATGTATATGACAACTCTCTGAAACTCCGAAAACGGTTAGGGTATGGTATAATATCGAATATTGTGTGTATGAAAAATGCGTTATATTGAAAGATTATATTATGAAAGCTAGGTAGGGATTATACTCAAACATCAAAAATGAAAATTACAAATTGAATGTCTATGACAACTCTCTGAAACTCCGAAAACGGTTATGGTATGGTAAATAAAAGAAAATTGTGTGTATGAAAAATGCGTTATATTGAAAGATTATATTATGAAAGCTAGGTAGGGATTATACTCAAACATCAAAAATGAAAATTACAAATTGAATGTCTATGACAACTCTCTGAAACTCCGAAAACGGTTAGGGTATGGTATAATATCGAATATTGTGTGTAAAAAAATGCGTTATATTGAAAGATTATATTATGAAAGCTAGGTAGGGATTATACTCAAACATCAAAAATGAAAATTACAAATTGAATGTATATGACAACTCTCTGAAACTCCGAAAACGGTTATGGTATGGTAAATAAAAGAAAATTGTGTATATGAAAAACGCGTTATATTGAAAGATTATATTATGAAAGCTAGGTAGGGATTATACTCAAACATCAAAAATGAAAATTACAAATTGAATGTATATGACAACTCTCTGAAACGGTTAGGGTATGGTAAAATGTCGAATATTGTGTGTATAAAAAACGCGTTCTATTGAAAGATTATATTATGAAAGCTAGGTAGGGATTATACTCAAACATAAAAAATGAAAATTACAAATTGAATGTATATGACAACTCTCTGAAACTCCGAAAACGGTTAGGGTATGGTCAATAAAAGAAAATGGTGTATATGAAAAACGCGTTATATTGAAAGATTATATTATGAAAGCTAGGTAGGGATTATACTCAAACATCAAAAATGAAAATTACAAATTGAATGTATATGACAACTCTCTGAAACGGTTAGGGTATGGTATAATATCGAATATTGTGTGTATGAAAAATGCGTTTTATTGAAAGATATTATGAAAGCTAGGTAGGGATTATACTCAAACATCAAAAATGCAAATTACAAATTAAATGTCTATGACAACTCTCTGAAACTCCGAAAAACGGGTAGGGTATGGTATAATATCGAAATATTGTGTGTATGAAAAATGCGTTATATTGAAAGATTATATTATGAAAGCTAGGTAGGGATTATAGTCAAACATCAAAAATGAAAATTACAAATTAAATGTCTATGACAACTCTCTGAAATTCCGAAAACGGTTAGGGTATGGTATAATATCGAATATTGTGTATGAAAAATGCGTTATATTGAAAGATTATATTATGAAAGCTAGGTAGGGATTATACTCAAACATCAAAAATGCAAATTACAAATTAAATGTCTATGACAACTCTCTGAAACTCCGAAAACGGTTAGGGTATGGTAAATAAAAGAAAATTGTGTGTATGAAAAATGCGTTACATTGAAAGATTATATTATGAAGGCTAGGTAGGGATTATACTCAAACATCAAAAATGAAAATTACAATATGAATTTCTATGACAACTCTCTGAAACTCCAAAAACGGTTAGGGTATGGTATAATATCGAATATTGTGTATGAAAAATGCGTTATATTGAAAGACTATATTATGAAAGCTAGGTAGGGATTATACTCAAACATCAAAAATGAAAATTACAAATTGAATGTATATGACAACTCTCTGAAACTCCGAAAACGGTTAGGGTATGGTATAATATCGAATATTGTGTGTAAAAAAATGCGTTATATTGAAAGATTATATTATGAAAGCTAGGTAGGGATTATACTCAAACATCAAAAATGAAAATTACAAATTGAATGTATATGACAACTCTCTGAAACTCCGAAAACGGTTATGGTATGGTAAATAAAAGAAAATTGTGTATATGAAAAATGCGTTATATTGAAAGATTATATTATGAAAGCTAGGTAGGGATTATACTCAAACATCAAAAATGAAAATTACAAATTGAATGTATATGACAACTCTCTGAAACTCCGAAAACGGTTAGGGTATGGTATAATATCGAATATTGTGTGTATGAAAAATGCGTTATATTGAAAGATTATATTATGAAAGCTAGGTAGGGATTATACTCAAACATCAAAAATGAAAATTACAAATTGAATGTATATGACAACTCTCTGAAACTCCGAAAACGGTTATGGTATGGTAAATAAAAGAAAATTGTGTATATGAAAAACGCGTTATATTGAAAGATTATATTATGAAAGCTAGGTAGGGATTATACTCAAACATCAAAAATGAAAATTACAAATTGAATGTATATGACAACTCTCTGAAATTCCGAAAACGGTTAGGGTATGGTATAATATCGAATATTG